ACAGCAATTAAAATTGCATTCTTCACAAAAGAAGAGGTATCATCATGATGCACTGTATCTTATTGTACTTAGTTATCTTGGCTCTAAATCCTGGTCTTCTTGTTCCTGCTCGGTATACTAAAGGCTTTTCTATGTTCTACGTCTGATCCGCCAGCAAAACCTGTCTTTCTGGTTGCTTGAGTTGCTCACATTATTTGTAGGGATTCTGACATATTTGGAACCAAAACAGTTTCTCTTCATTATATTTGTAAAAAAAAACTGTAATGAGACTTTCTTAATTAGTAAAACATTAGAGTCGTTGTTTACTTTCCCTACAGTATGGACAATACTTTGAGAGATGAGGCACTGACTAATATTATAATTTACTTTACTACATATACATTACGAGCCTCATACACAAGTTCATATATGCATAAGTATGAATATTCCAACTTGTCTGTGAGAACAAAACAAAAAACAAATCACAAACCAACGACTGACATGTTGATGTAAAAACACCAAAAGAATTTTATTCTTATTTTATATCATACTTCTGTTTTATATAACTTGATTTATTGTATTTTTACATCAAGTGTTTTTATATATTTTAATAATATTGTATCCAATCTCGTTGTTGCTGCGGTTCAGTCGTGTGTGTATATGTGTGTAAATCATGTGTTTGCCTGATGATGGCTATCAATAGCCGAAACATGTAGCAGGGCCGAAAATGGTCTGATCTTGATATTAGTTGTGTTGTGACGGATATAATAAAGAAGTAGTATAGTAAAACATTAATTGTATTCAGTATGAATACATGTACAATTTCTTTGGCCACATACTGGTTGGAATGATTGAACTTACTGAATGTGTAATATTGTCTAAATGATATGAGTTGCCTTGTTTTGCATTTTGTGTGTGTTTGTTTTGATTCCTCCTTTGCTTGTTTGCTTTACAATTGGCCTTAGGACTGCTGAGTATTTATATTACTGAATAAAGGGTTGAACTCAACTCAGCCTCTAACAGAAATGAGTACCAGGAATATTCTTGGGGGTAAAGGGCAGCCGGTGCATAAGGCTGACAACCTTACCGCCACCTATGAGCCGACTGTCTAGAAAATGTGGGAACCTCAACATCTCACAACCCTATGGGCCTCCATGGCCTGCTACAGGGATACCTTTGCTTTTTGCGTTGCTTTACTGAATCTTCTTTTATCCTTATACATTGTCTCAGAATATGGGAGAGCACACAGGAAGCATAATGGAAGCCAAATACAAACCCAGAGATCCAGAACATGACTACTGAACAAAATGAAAAGAAAAAATCTTAATGACAATATTTACTGGCCTATACATCCCATCCTTTCAAATTCTGGAAAAAGATCTAGCAGCATAAAGCCAGTATAAAAAGAGAAGAAACACAACATGAGATGTTTCTAAGGAAAAAACTTTTCATATAAATCTAATTTTTATCATTATGCATTTTCAGATCTTGTTTTTGGTAAATGCTCCACCACTCTTCTACAGCATAATGAAGTTAGGTATGTATAGGCTTAAGACAACTGAGTATTAACACTATATCAGGTCTAACTGCATTTTAAAGAAACCGTTAAAATAAACTTCATTACAAATCATTTTTTTTTTGGTTTACATAATATACAGCTTCAACAATAAACCATTTACATTCTGAAATACATTTTCTTAAATTCACATTAAATTAATGCCTACAGAAAACATAAATATAGCACTAAATATATACATAAATAATAATTACAATTCATTCTCCTACACCACTTACATGTAAATGTTATTACAAAATAAGACAGCCATCAAGAAAATATAGCTTTACTAAAGGCTTGAGCTAATATAATTAATTTACATGTTTTGGTCCCACAGGATCATCTTCAGAGGCTCATATAATAAAAGGGGATTGCTCACATGTACATTAAATTTATAAGTAGCCCTAAAAGTACACAACAGATATTCCTTATGAGTAAAAACATGAGGTTGTGATATGTATGAGTATTTTGATTGTTCTGGCTTCAGAATGTGTTGTTAAATTACCTCTCTGTAAGTTTTGTAGGAAGTATTTGGTATTAAATAGTTAGACATTTGTCTATTTAGTATTTAGTACATGTGTACATAGAAGTTATCTTTAATATTTATTATTTGTCCTTGTTTGGTGTGAACAATTTTATCTAATATGTCTTCCATGCTACCACATTCATGTCTACTGTTTAATGTTTGCTTTGAAAGCTGAATCTTCTCTATTATTTTTAATACTTCATACACAATACATTTTAAAGCTATGTGCCATAAATTGAGAGTATCATTACTATAAAGCTATGTGCCATAAATTGAGAGTATCATTACTATACTACAAAATAATGAATATAAATAAAAGAAAATAACAACACTTTATGAATAAATAAAACAAAAAAAAATCAGAGAATGAAGACAGAAAGGGACAAGTTTCACATATAAGATAATGCACTATCATAAAACTATTAACAACAGCATCACCATTTGGAATGGTTAAGTACAATAAAAAACACACCATACACAGCACCCAAGATTGATAAATATGATCCTACTGGTATATAAAAACTCACATGCACATATTGCAAACCCATAAATATCACAGACAAAGAACTCACAAGAAGTATAAAAAATAATACAGAAGAGTCAGTCTCTGCAATATACATTTTACACAAGAGATATCAATATAGTTCAATGAAAAATATAAGAGCCAGGGAAGCTCATTTGGTACAGAGATGGACTAGGGGCTGGATGGCTGGAGTTCCATTTCTGGCAGGAGCACGATTTTCTCTTCTCTATAGTGTCCAGACTAGCTCCGGGGCCCACCCAGCCTTGTAGCAAATGGCTATAGGGAGGCTCTTTCCAAGGGGGTACAGAGGCAGGGGTGTGAAGCTGGCCACTCACCTCCATCCAGTGCCAAGGTCAAGAATGGTGGAACTACACCTCCACTCCCACATACATATTGGTAGTGTGGCACTTAATTTATTATACACAGAGACAACTTTACTTTACTTTAGAATGAAAGATATAATGGACAAACGTGACCACACTAAAATAAAGGCAAATAATAATTATTAGAGAAAACTTTTATGCACTCATATATAAAAACACTAAACTTGATCACAGAAAAACAAGAACCAGATGAAAAAGAAACATGCTATTTCACACAGCCATATTGCAAAACAATGTGCATGAGCTAGTAAAAGTATTAAGTGCAGTAGAAATCTGATTAGCAGTGGTATTCAAGTCACTGACATTTCTACAGACACATCTCCAACAAAAACAGTAGCAAGGGGTATAAAGTATGTAATATATAATACTTCACTGAAGCTTCCCAGTATATTACAAGATAAACTTGGCAAAATGTCTATTTCCCATGTTATCTTTGGAAATAATTACCAACACATTCCTGAAGCCAGAACCTCATATTTTTAATCAAATATATTATATAATTTTAAGGCTATTTATATACAAATTTAACTTACATATATGTAATCTCCTTTTATCGTTCAAGCCTCTAAAGATTATCCTACAGGACCAAAACATGTAAGGCAAGTATATTAACTCAAGCTTTTAGTAAAGTTTGGTACAGTGATTGTTGCCTGATTTTTTAACAATTAACAAAAACTATAATGGTCAACAAGTCTTATTTTAGGAAAATATGTAAATACTGTGAGTCTTTAATGCAACATCTATGTTTTCCTTTTCTCAGCAGATAATTAACCATTAATTTTACATACAGAACTAAGAAGACAGCTAACATGAAACTGCCTATTTTACACATCAAGCAATACCAAATGTCAACATGAGGACATTAACTCTTTCAATGCTACACATAAGATATTCTGCTTAGAGAGAATGGTGCTCTTGGTCTGGAATTATTTGATGCCTGAGAACATAAAAAAGAAAGAAGTCCCACCATCTGTCAACAGTCATGCCTTTGTAACATCAGAATTATGTACTCCCAAACAAACACATTAGAACATTACTTTAAATTAAAGAAATGGGCTGCAGTATAGGAGCACAACTGTATAATTAATGAAATGGAACATGGTAAAAGGAGCCAGAGAAAGTTTCTGCTCTGTCATAGGTTCTCATAGCAAAAGTGTAATATCTCCGTAGAGGTCAAGAATTTAGTCTCTGGGATGTCATGCCATGTAGCCTGACAGATAGGTACCAACACTTCACAGGAGTCAGGTACCTACATTTTCAGGATTGAACCCTGATGATAGAGGCAACATATTCCTCCAGAGCAGATTATCACATACCAGAAGACCATAATATTAATACACATTGTTCTGAGAAATTCAAATCCGAGCTCTATGCAGAATGACATGTACCAATATACCGTATCTGGAACGGGTCATGATAGTGCAGTCGGTATAGCAACTGCCTACAAGCTGGATGACCAGGGGGTCAGAGTTTGAGCCCCAGTAGGATCAAGAATTTTTGCTTCTCCACGTTGTCCAGACTGGCTCTGGGGCCCACCTAGCCTCCTATCCAATGGGTACCAGGAGCTCCTTCCCCAGGGGTACAGCAGCCAGTGTGTGTGAAGCTGACCACTCACATCAAGCTAGTGCTGAGGTCAAGAAAATGTGTATCTATACATCCACTCTCCCATATGCCTTCATGGTGTAGTGCTTAATTAGTTAAGTACAGCGACATTTTTACTTTATATCCTCACCTGGAACATGATTAGGGAATTTTTAATAATAAATCCATGATCTTGGTATTGAATGTGTGAACAATCTTCTGTTGATTCAATTTTGCCAGTGCTCTCTAGTATTACTTACTCATGGAGCTGAGCCCTTCTGGAGGAACCACCAATTCTGCAGCTACTCAAGAATTTCCCAGCATTTCATGGAACCCGAAGGTTCATTACCATGTTCACAAGAGCACTCCACTGGTCCGTATCCTGAGCCAGATCAATCCAATCCATACCATCCCATCCTATTTCTCTGTGATCTGTTTTAATATTGTCCACCCAACTACACCTTGGTCTTCCCTGTGGTCTCTTTCCTTCTGGCTTCCCACCAATATCCTTTACGCATTCCTCATCTCACTCTCTCTAATATTATGATTGCTTATGTCTTTCTGAAGCTTCTATGTGACATGGACAATAAAAAGCATGAATGGAATTACTAGTCATGATAATCTATCACCTGGTATATACTAATTATATTTTGTCAAAAGATCTTCTCAAATTTGGATTACATTTATAGTTATAACGTCCAGAATACAGTGACACAATGTAAATGACTCAGTAACAGACTACTTCAAGAAGACGCGAAGTATTCCGCACACTACGTACAAGTCTGGGGCTTGATGTTGCATCCTCTTGCACTCACATGCTGCCAATTAGCCTGCAATAAAATACCAAGTCTGCACAACATTCATACAATCTGGAGACTGGGGGAAAGACTGTAAATGAAAATGCCAGGTTACAGTGGTAAATAATGAATTATTTGAGGCAGGAATGTGAATTCTTTTTACAGAGATGTATCATATACACACTTATAATTTCCTATTAGTCTTCTCAGATGTAACACCATGTAGTTTGTTGGACATGGGTCAACTTTCCAGTGGGACTTGCTGTCTCCATCTTCAACCCTGAAGATGGGAGCAGTGGGTTCTTCCAAAATGTTGGTTTCTACCTATCATACTACGAGGTGGCATCGGAAAGTTCCTGGACTGTTACTGTTGTAACTGCCTTGGTGACAGAAGACCAGAGGGGAGGAAAGGTCACGCTTCTGAAAGCCTATTTCATCAGTTGGCCACGTGACATCGCGCTGTGAACAAGCCACTTTGACTTCGTGTTTCATTTTGTCTGTGATAAAGCTGTACAAGATTTAATCAATAACAAAACCATCATAAAGACAAGAACAGCCGCATATGATTTTGGTTTTCTAAAAATTACATTAAACCATCATTTGAATGAAATTTCATGAACAAGAAAACTGTGCTTGTTTTATATTTCAACTTCCACTACTATTGAGGTAAATGAATCTGACTCAGCATGTCACTCACCCCAATACCATGTGACCACCCTGTTCCTGCTGGATTATCAGGGGTTATCCCATGACGACGACACAGAACTCCTGTTGCTGTTATAGCCCAGATTTCAGCCTGGACTTGTCCAGCTGACACATGACGAAATCCAATTGTGTTATTCTGGGATGAACTGCTGCTGCTGCTACTAATTTTATCTGAGTCACACACATAAAACATTGATCAGTGCTAATACAGTCATCACAGACAGGAATCATATGGGGGGGGGGGGTCCAAAAAAATGTACTGTCTCTCTGATAGTCAAAATCTTTGGAACAAAATGACATGCAGTTACAATTCTTGTGCGGTAGTGTAGTGTAATGTTTTTTTCAACAGATGGCGAAGGTCACATGAGTCACATGAGTGTCGTGCTGTGTGCGCACTGCGAGCAGAAGACAGCAGCAACAATGGCTGAAAGGTTGTTCTTTGAACAATGCAAGGCTGTATTGAAGTGGTACTGGAAGTATGAAAACATTAAAGAGGTATAACGACAATGGCAGAATTAGTTTGGAACTCAGCCACCAACACGTCGAACAATTGCCTGTATTTGGGATAAATTTGAAGCCGACGGTACTGTTCATGATGTGCATAAGCCGACCAAGTGTATGGCGAATTCTGAAGGTTGCAAAGTGGAGAGTGTACATTCCAAGACTGCTGCACGCTATGAACGAGGACAACCCAGATCAAAGGCGAGTGGTTTGAAGGCATGGTTCGCGAGGATGAGGAGTTTGCAGGGAAAGTTATCTGATCTGACGAGGTGCAATTCAAAATGAACGGTACTGTTAACTGCCACAATTGTGTGTATTGGACTCCTGTAAATCCACACGTTCACGTGGGCAAGGAAGTGAATCTACCGGGTGTTAATGTGTGGTGTGGTCTGTCATCGCACGGTTTGATTGGTCCTTTCTTCTTTGAAGGTACCGTAACTGGTCAGGTGTATCTCGATTTTTCCCTGCAATTCGAGAGCTGTTTGGAGATGAGAGATTTTACCTACAACAAGATCGTGCTCCACCTCACTACCATCGAGATGTCAGGGCGTATTTGGATGACACTCTACCTTGACGATGGATAGGCCGAAGAGGTGCTATTGAGTACCCACCACGGTCTCCAGACCTAACACATCTCGACTTCTACCTATGGGGAACCATGAAGGATGAAGTTTATCAACAAAAGCCAGCTACACTGAACGTGCTACGAGAAACCATTGAAGCGTCGTGTGCAGCCATCACACTGGACACACTGACAGCCATAATTCACTCAGCAGTTCAGAGGCATTGACGCTGTTTAGCCGCCGATGGTGGTCACTTCGAACACACGATGACTCTCTCTCTCTCTCTCCGCGCAAGAATTGTAATTACATGTCATTGTGTTCCAAAGATACTGATTATCAAAGAGTGAGTACTTTTTTCGGACCCCTCTGTATAATTTCATCTATCACATTAACTGTCCCACCTTATTTTTGGGGAAGAAAAAGAATATGTTTTGCACCACATAATGATCTCCCCTCCAAACTCTGACTTGGCTGATAATCATGCAGTCTCCTTTCCATTTCCACACTCCTTTTCTGGTGGACCAAAGAGGGATATGATTCAATTCCAAAATTTGTATTTGACTGGGTTCAAAATTGTTTTAGAGAACTGAGACATTGATATAACTTACTTAACTTTGTACTGTCCATGTTGCTGTCTCCCCATCACATTCCCTACAGTAAAACAAGCTGTCAAAGAAGTTAACTTACTCTGCCCTTATACAACATGCTTAAATCATTCCAACCACCACTAGCACGCTCATATTCATTACTGTATGTCCTTGTTAACTGTTACTGTACCAGCCTTCAACATCTTGGAAGCCACAGAATAAAACTATCAATGCATATGTTTAAGGTTTTCTCCCGCATAAAATTCAGTTTGATTTCTGATGGCACTTGTGATGACTTTCCTGCTTACAAAACATTTCCCACTATCACAGCTGAAAACAGTGGAACTTTAAATGTCATGTTAAAATTTTCCTTATCATTGATCCATTTTTGTTGTGCGTACATATTGCTGCAGTTAGTTTCATGACCTAGCCTTGTGACTGTGTGATGGACATAAGTATATCCTATCAGCATAGTGCCATGAACAAGAGAACTATTATACAGTGCGCACTTGATTGTACGCACTGTATTATGGATCCTATTCATGTACGTTATTGATTTATTTTTACTATGAGTGTGGTAACTTACTTGAACTTAATTTCATCATGTTACAGAATTAGACACTTATGGTTCATGTATGGTTTATGTGCCACTACTATAACAGGTATTTACAGTTAATTGGTTAGGTACAATGGCTATTTCACAACTATTTATTATATACATCATGTTAAAAAGTTGAGTGTATTGCAACTTATAATATAATGCACATATGTCAAGTATTAGTGAGATTTACACTGCATCATGAGTTCGTCTGCCATTCGAGTCCAACACAAATCAACACTTTTATTCTCCCAACCATTTCCTACACATGTAACACCAAAAATCTGTGTGTATTCCAATTGTGTCATGAAGAACTCATAATGCAACATGCGCAGGTTAAGTATTAGCGAGATTAAAACTACATGCCATGTTGGCCTGCTACTCCCATTCTATATGAGTTGACTAGTTTTTCTCACATGATGCACATGCAGCAACTTGCAAGTGTGCAGCAGAGGCTTCTGATTGTAAAGAATGGTACCTAATTAACAGTAATGTGCAATAAAAGAGGCTATGTAAGAGTAGGAAAACCTTTCACTCTTTGGTTCACATAGTGCTAACAGCAATGAAAACGTTGAATTACTTTTCATTGTTTTTATATTCCCATGATAACCACTCTAAAGAAATAGAAATACTGCCACACCTGCATTATCATTCAAACTTTAGTGTCATGCAGTATTAAACATAACTGCATGTTGCAATAGACCTGTCCATATGTCAACCATTTTTGGATACTGTGTGTATTCATTAGAATGAATACTTTTTTTTTAATTTTGGAAAATCTTGGAATAGCGAGGTTGCACTGAATATGCTTACCATAGTTTCCCATGTCACTAGCAATTGTGGGTATGGCCTGCCAATGTGTGCCTTCAGGAAAAACGGGTGTAACTTCCCGTCGTACCCACAGCTGACCTGCAGAATCCAATCCCCATATAGCAAAACAACCAACTGATATCTGCTTTAATGTTTTCCCAGTAGGTGGTTCCACTGTCTCCCACACTTCACCTATAGAAACAAACAAATGACAGAGGTATGAGTATAGTTCCATGATACCTCAAGATTACATGCAGTCTTCCTTCTATGTTTTGGGGGAAGCAGCTGTGTCCGAAGCAGCTGTGTCCATCTCCTTCTCTGCAGATGAGGCGGCAGCTTCCCCCAATGTTGGTACCTGTTTACCAGATTACATAGCATAGCATAGCATTTTAAAGTACCATGTACACTGCCATGAAAACATCAAATTTCATATTCCATCTATAGTAAATAAGGAGTTCTGATCAGAATTCATAATGCCTACTTTCCAACTGCCATAAATTTCTAGTCCAGCAGATCTGTTACTATTATTACTGATGTTTTATTTTATTTTGTGAAAAAATTATTGCTTAAGTACAGATTCTGCCTATATTAATTAAACTTGCTAGATATAACCTCAAAGTTCTGCACCGTCACCATGTTTGTAACTGTTGACCTAAAAAAAATGCTGTTAATTTGTACATATGTTTATGATATGGCTCCCTGCAAAATTTCATATGCCTTGCTTCACTGGTTAATCATTTATCGCCATAGAATCAAAAGTTAAAAGAATTTCACATGACCACCATGCTATCACTTTACATTTTACAAAAAGTTACCTGAAAAGAAGCTGCATGATTTTTGAAGATCTATATGGATACATCATTTCAGGGTTCTAAATTAAGTGGTGCCAGTGTCGCTCCCACTGCGCTGTTATTATTGATGGTGGGAAACGGCACCTTCAATGGTACGAGTGCACGCACGCACACACACACACAAAGAAACAGAGAAAGCACAGTGAGCTCTTAAACTTACTTTCTTCCTTAACAAAGGAAATCAGGTAAGAACCATAAAACCAACAATTACATTGCAGACAGAACCTAAGAATCTAACGTTAACTTTTGCTACCAATGTGAAACTCTTAATTACTAATCATCATTTCTCTGCCTGAGACATTACTTTGTCTGCTACTGCCACCTGATGCCATGATGTCACTCTACTAGAGCAGATTGTGGTACTCCTTATTTCAGAATGTTCAATTCCCATGCTGAGCATTAGATGATCTCTGGCACTTCTTGAAAATCTGTTCCTGTCTTGAGCAATTATAAGTTTGAGAAACATAAAAATACCATTATCTATTGAATTTGTAATTAGGCTGGGGGAGTAAGTAAGTAACCTACTGCCTCCATCTTAATGGCAGAAGTGTAGTTTATTATGCTTTGGTCTCTGCACTTCAGCAGGAAGGACAGAAACCTTAGTAGCTTGGCTCCTTCCATTTTAGGGGATCCAAATCTGTGGACATTTCATAGTCTCCCCATACAGGACCATTATATGAGATCTGAGGTTCTCATGGCTTGAGTACTGAAATTTATACTATGAAGATGAAGGCAGCAGATTCTTCTGAAACATTGGCACCTATCTACATGACATCGCATTCAAGGAGACCGTAATCTATTCTTGAATATGTGTATCATGAAATTCTATAATGTAAACTATATTTTTCCATTGCCTCTCATGTTATAAGTGAAACTGCATTCCTAATGACATTCTTTCAGACCAAAGTTCTAAAAAAAGCACACTTCGTTAAGTTCTACATCAAATGTGACTTCTTTCTGTGTTCCTTTAGCTGTACTAATGGCAACCAAACTTGACGGTCTCTTTCCAGAGATGTTACCTAAATACAGTGTATGATATAAAATAAGAAAGCAATAGCAACCATGCTACCAGCCATTCCCCTATAACACTGACATGTAGAAAATGGCCTACTACAGGATCTGCCATGTCAATGACTGAATTCATTAAAAAATAATCATTTCTCAAGAATATAGTTTTAGCTGAAAGTGATCTTATTTTTCATTTCATGTTAAAAAAATGTAACATTTATCTCACATTTGTGTAAGGGTCAATTTATGGCCCACATCCTGAATTCTATGGTCATATTTTATAACTTCCACAAGACCAAAATTCTACAGCCTAAATATCTATAACACAGGTGAGCGCTATTAAATCGGAAACAAATTATCATTTTAATGCTGCAACCCAAATGACCATACCATGGTGGCACACTGAATGGAGTAAAACTGTTATTACTTTAATGTGCAGGGTATGTCAATTTTATTCTGATGATCATGTACAAATCATTTTTAATTAATGGGGAGATTCTGGAAACAGGAGTTACAATTTGGATTAGTATCCTATGTATGTAGAATTATTTGGAAAAATTACTAGCTTTTCGTTCTTATGATAAGACTAATTCAGTGTTATAAACCATAATTTCTAAATTTAAATTAATATGAATTTGTTCATGTTCAGAGTTGTATTATGAAGTTAAAAAATGTTGGTTTCCAGATGAATGGTCCTCAGTTGATAGCCAAGTGATGATAAATTTTGATTAGATGGGAATTTGGTGTAATTTCTTCTCAATTGGGAATTTGTTGGAATCAAAGATTTTAGGTTTATATGGACATACAGTGAATTTTCTGGACAGTGATGCCATAAAGAACGTACATTATGTGTCAGCCTGATCTGAAGGGAAAGCATCTGAATCTTTCATCAAAGAAACCCCGCAAAAAATATAAGACTCTATATTTCACAGCCTAAAAATCAAATACAAGTTATGTAACTTAGAAGAAAAACCTGGATACTGCTGTCCACTCTGTTACTGTAATGGTTATGTATACAGCTGTAACTTACCAATTGGATTTGATGGTGTAATTCCAAATCTCCAGAATGCAGACCCACTCCTGCCAACAGCCCACACATGTCTGTCTGGCCCACAGCTGATACTGGCCAGTGTCTGATCACTTGGAACATGTTCCCATGATGTTCCCTGAGCAGGATGGGATATCTTTCTAGTTTCCATGGACATCCATATCATTCTATGTTTCACTTAGGTTTTTGTCTGACAAAGCTCTCAGTACCCCAGCTTCTACATCATCAAATCATAGAATTAGTGACCAAGAAACTTAAAAACATGTGGAAGTAAATGGCCATGCCTTATTTGAGGTACTATCTTGGTATTTACCTGGAGAGCCAAAAAACAACCTCAGTCAGGACAGATGCTTCTGGACCAAGATTTCAGTGTAGGACCCCTTCAAAAGGAATGTATAATTCACTATAGTCTTCTGGGCATACAATGTAATAAAGTGGTAAAAATTATTCATGTTTGAGAGGAAATTGCTGCCTCATTCATCAGGACCAATAATATGGGCAACAAGTACTTCTAAAACATCCGTGTAAAGGTCACCACTTCAGCACAATGTGATACCTGACAGACTCTAGAATAAAATATAGCAACTCATCCACATTACATATCTTCACTGTGTGATATAATCAATGATAACAGCAAGATTAGGTTACCTCCTGAATTTTTTTGGTTTTGGCAAATCAAAGTTTAATTGTTAAGTTCTGGCAGAATTGAATTTAAATTGCACCAGGAAAATGAAAGAACTTCCTTTTACACCAAATTTCAGTAATGAGACAGATAAGCTTCATTAGAAATAATGTGAGTCCAGAGCCCCACTACGTGACTACCCAGCTGAAAACATCAGTAAACACTCTCCTATCTTATTCAAAGCGAAATGTATGATTTTGTTTTATATAAAAAGAAATAATATGGCATGTAAAACATGGAATCCAGAGAAAATATATAAAGCTTATTTCTGTACTGCACACGTTTTTAATCTAAAAAAATCTTGCGCTGTTAATGCTTTATTGAGGTAACGCAAATTTATAACCCAATAATGTCATTTAGCCCATGAGTTAGAGTGCTAGATTAGTATACTGATGATCATACAATAAAATCCTAATTAAATGAAGATTCTTTTATTGTTTGCAACTGTAATTATGTTACAGGCTACTATTACTACTGCAAGGATGTTTTACTGTAACTTGTTAATACTTACAGCTGGACACAAAGCTGAGACTCCTCTCCTGTACAGTGCATCACCATTGGCTGCAACTGCCCACACATCGACCAATGAGTCTATTTCAACTTTGCTGCTCATCTGTCAATCAACATTATATGAAGTAAATGCACGGAGTTAGTATGATCCACTTCTGCATTAATAAAAGCTACAATAATCCAATAATGCATTTGGATAACTCATGTATTCAAAGACTGCTTCATGTAATACCCCTAACATCTACTTTTACTTAAATCTCTTTAAGCTCTTACAATCTCCAGTACCTCTTCTTACATTCTACCTACAGCTGAATAAGATGCTGTTATTTAAGCTAAGAGGCCAACTGTACCCATGCTGTAAATCAAATTTAAACAAAAAGTACAACTCATAACAATAGCCATTATATCTACAAAATAAGATGGTCATATTTCTAAGAAGCTGACAAGATGTTTCAAGCAATTTATCACACTGAAAATGACCAAACTGTTCCAAAAACACACAATTACTCACAGTAACTAATTCTATGGAGCAAAGTCCTTGAGAGGCTAACAGTCGCTCAAGTGGTCAAACAGTACTACCCTTTTATAGAACCCGAATGTTCACTACAAAGTTCAGACTTGCCTAACATTGATCCCCATCCTAAGACAAAATCTGAGGCCCTGTACAACATTTTGAAACAGGCTAGTTTTTACTAAGAGGAGTTGTTAGTCCATGCCCAACTACCCAGATGGAGGACCAACCCTTGTCGGCTGTCCAAATACATTCACAGCTAAGATACATATCAGGAAGGAAACGATCTCCTCCATCTGTAACCTGAAAATTTTCCATACCATCATAAAATTGGCCCCATTTAATGTGGGAATAGGATCCTTGAAATGTATTTATTTTTATTTTTTTATTGCTAGTGGGGTGGGACTAAGTCCTTTGTACTGTGGCCACTTCTGGCCTATTGTACCAGCCCCAGATGATAGGTGAGGGTGATTGTGGAGCAGTTGGTGGAATGAGGCAAGGGAAACCGAAGTACTCGGAGAAAAACTGCCCCAGCGCTACTTTGCCCACCACAAATCCCACTTGACCAGACCTGGGATCAAACCCTGGCTGCTGTGGTGGGAAGCCAGAAACTAACCGCTTGAGCTATGGCGCAGCCATATCCTTGAAATGTATTTTTATTATTATTATGGGAGGGGTGGGTTTCCCCATGCACCATGACCAGTGGTCTATTGTACGTCCCCTCTGTGATATTCTACCAGTCTCTATACCCTACTGATACTGGTGTGTGCCATCAGTCCCGACTCAGCCAGCGAGTTCGGCCTCTACTGGCTCAGCGGTATCTCTCGATGCTTCCCCCATCTATCAGAGACGTTAGAGACTACTGTTGGGCGGGAAATGTCCGATCAATTTGGCTCAGTGGTCCCTTTGGGACATGAGGTTCTTTTACGTGCCATAAAGCATGGGACCCACAGCTTAAACTCCCTCCCGGAGGACTTGTTCCCTCAATTTTTCTGCCCTTAAAAATTCCACGACCTCCGCCGGGTTTGAACCCGCGTACCTTGAGTCATGAGGTGGGAACGTTACCCCTAGACTATGGAGGCTGCTCCTTGAAATGTAAGTGCTAATATAAATATACAATTAATTCAGATTTGGCAAATATTCTATTTAAAGATAATTCTCAAATAAAACAAATGACCAAAGCATACATACTGTGAAAAAAGTCTGTAGTAGAAACAATGCAATGTGGACAGCACTGACCTCTATATCTGAATTTCTCATGGCAATAAACACAAAGATTACAATCTTCTGGGATGTGATGTTGTATAGTGAGTAGATAAGTACCATTGTTTCAAAGTAACCTGAAGCCTCTATATTCACGTACACTATGTTGCGCATCACAGCTCAGAAGACTTTAATCTTAGCACTCATCTCCCACTGCACTACATGTTCCATAAGACTGTGATACCTGAAGTGAAACATCAACTAGTTTTGTACTCCCCAGCTCTTGCCAAGGTCCACTGGTGGAAAGCTGAGCCTTCCTGACCCAACGTCGCCTTCTCACATAATCTGTGAAGTGCTTCTGACCATGGTATGTGGCTGGGAAGTCAATGGCATATTGCCAACCCTCCTTATCCACGCCACCTGGTGTATGGTAGTCAATGCTCCAATCTGACACCTTCAGGACAGATACCAAACACACACTGTAAACACAACAATCTTTGAAACAAAGTAAAATTATCCAAGGTGTTGTAGGATAATAAATTTACAAGGCATATATCTTGATGCAATTTGTTAAATGTTCAATATGAATGATATAAGAGTGTTACTTGGGCAACACTTTGCCACACTCCAAATGAGGAATGAAACACTTACAGAACTATTGGATGAGTTCTCTTCTCATCCATCGAAATTATGTCCTGTCCTTTCAGTCACTGTTTTGCTGTTCCTATCAGTTTTAGTTCAGATTCCCAGATGTCACTTCATCTGTTTCCAATGCTGAAGCACTTGGAAGCCAAACGTGACAATGTGGAAACAGCAGTAAAATGCTGATTGAAAAAACAGAATGCTGATTCTATGAACAGGGAATGGAAGAACTAATCCTAGACTATAAGTGTTTCAGCATCCACAAAGACCAGGAACACAGCTGAAATGTCATACAGTAATGCTGCATTACCCACACTGCCAACTCAAACAATTTAGTATTTATGCCCTGCAAATTTACTTTCTGACTCTCTCATGTAGAAAGAAGGTAGGTAAATTTAACAGAGAGTGAAATTCCTATTTTAGGTTTATCTTGGGGACAACATTTCTGTAGCATAAATCAAGACAAATTTTAAATGGGGGTTACATGAAATTCAAACAGAAAATGATACTGTACTGTTAATTACAAATATCTGGTTTATTATAATAAAGAATGGTCAAATATTTGTTACATAAATCTACAAACAACAGAAAATACTGTACAATGTATCTAACTGCACAGCAGTTGCTATTTGAAGTCAAATTTCTTTCTGTGCTTGTGTTTTAATTTAATAAAAGATCTGTGTGTATAGTCTTTCTGTAATTAAATGCAACATACACACATATTACAACACAAATAAAAATTTAATATAACATACATATAAGAGAGTCCAAAATTACCCATGGAGCTACCCTAAGTATGCAAAAGACGTGTAACACTGGTTTGTTATTTCTACTAACTCCCCCCACATGCATCACCTCCAGGTCAACAAGATGACATGCAGGCTTCCAGGTGTCTTTAAGCAAACAGCAATGGTGTGTAAATACTGCTTTTACCTGAATAGAAGACAACTCTGAACATGAAGTGACCACCTACTAACATGTCTGCATATAAAATGCAATTTTATATATTCATTTCAAACGGCTCTTACAAGGAAACTTGTGAAAGATATTAAATATCTTAAAACACGTTATGCATTAAGCCAAATTCTTCTTTTACACAGTTCCTTCTCTTCACCATTCCCAAATTCACGATCTTTACTGTAATAACTCTCTGTGGGGAATTGCAGCTTCTGATTCAAAGCTCTGGTGGTTCTTCAAGAAAACGTTCTCATATCTTGCGGTTCCTGACCTTGAGACATAATATTTCTCTTACTTTCTCTCTCACTTGCTACAGAATGATACAGTGTAATGTTAGCATTTGCTGCATATTAAAAACATCAAACACATTAGAAGCTTTCTGCACTTCAATTGAAAACAACACTTCATTATTTAACTCTGAAAGTAAGGACACATACGTCCAGCAATACAATGCACGCAGCCATATAATAAAGACATCATAAGACACAGTATATACACAATTAAAACATAAGAGGAATGACTCCCATAGCAGATGAATGGCGTTACACACAAGTCTGATATATGACATGTAAGATGATAGATCTTAACAAGTTTTAATATATAAATTTTATTATTGAACGACGATGAACACACGTTATATCATTTTATAAATGGACACTTGATGGCAGGCAGTGCAATGGTTTAACGTGATTGATACACCTGAGGATGGCAGAATGATGCCGAAACATGTAATGTGAAGTGACACGTGAAATTGTATGCACTAAAATACGGTAAATATATACACATTATGGATACGAATCAGTGCAACAGGATGCTAAAATACAACATTACTAATAATTTTCTACATTTTCACTCTGCACATAAATATCAGAAATATTCTGCATAATATAACAATTATTAACACATTAAAATCATAAAACATTACTTAGAATCATAGCCATGATGTTCAGCATTTTATTCATCAGGCTTGAAGAAGTTTATCTTCTTATATGAGACTGGTACTCATGGTGGTATTTAGATGCCATATGTTTTGGTAGATAGACCAGGGGAGACCTTCTACATGGAGGAAGCAGGTTCCTCTGAAATTTTGGTACCTACCTACCAAACCACACAGCATCTCATCCAAGAAGACCAAATTCTTAATGTTCTGAGTTATTTCTCAGCTCTGAAGAGTCATTTTGACATTCTGCACCAAACGATCACTATGAGAAATTAGAAATGTATCAAAATTTTTGTCACAAAACCTGAAGAAATGAGTTGTAGGTGCAAAAGAAAGGATATTCTTGGATGCATTCCTCTTTCAGTAATGCATGGTATGTATCATACCCATCTAATTTCTGTGCATTTTCCAGCTTCCTGTAATTTATCTTACCCATTGCCAATGCATAGATAGCAGCTTTGTCTTTTCTCTGGTCCGCTTGTGTTTGCCAGTTACATCACTCCACATGTACCTGTCAGTGGGCAAACCATGGGATGTGTAACCAGTCAGGGGATTCCACCGCTGGTTTTCATATACATAGTAACTGCGAGTGTCTGTCATGGGATTGATCCCTGAGCTGCTGGTCTCTAGACCTGTCCAATCAGAAGAAAATGGGAATTCAGAATTAAAATAAATCTTAGAATATTAATACTATGATAGCCTGGTAGCTGGTTGAACCTGTCTAAGTTGTTAGGGGGAGAGCTAGACAATTATAGAGCACCCATGGAATGACAACTGGCAGAGAAACAGCAAAGTAATTTGAAACAGGATTAAATTCTGTTCCACAAAACTGCATAATTAATTATGCTGTCTTATCATAATGCATTTGAAGGAAACATATTCTAACGTGGTGGAATAGTTTAGCAAGAGACACCAACCACTGCTAGGCAATGGCATAGTAAATACACTGCAGTGTCATCAAAGAAACAAACCATTGGTAGGCAACAAACAAAACATGCAACAAGAAAAGAACTGAAGAAAGCAGTCTTCTGGGATATGGCACCGTGTAGATGTGGTGTTAACTGATGTTTCGGAGGAACGTATACAGCTTGTACTAGTTCTCATGGTCTCTTCGCTTGCGGATTTCCTTATTTTTTTTATACCCTGAAGATGGAGGTTAACACATCTACATGGTGCCACATCCCAGAAGACTACTTTCTTCATAGTCACTGCTGTGACAACCTCAAATCTTACAAGAAAAGAACTGTTTGTGGTGTTTTCTGTATGGTCTGCCCCAAGGCTATACAATGAGGACCAGCGAAGCAATGAGCTAGCTGTGAGATGGTAGCTAGGCAGAAATGCTGTAAGGGAGCAGAAGAATTTCCACTCTTGGGAACCGTAACCAAGCAATGACTGTGATGACAACAGATGAAGACAGCATGTGCTATGGTGATTTGCTAAGATTGTAGATTAGTGGTAGTGTTATAATTCTTTGTAGTTACAAAGATTAGTGGTAGTGTTATAATTCTTTGTAGTTACAAGTATTAGGCCTTCAATAAATAAATTGTCAATAAAAACCCCATGTCTAGTCACTAAAACATGACAATATTTACGTTTTCTTTGAAAAATGATTCACCCCACCTGCTTACATAGACTGCAGACCCATGCCACATTATAACTAATATCTCACCTTTCAGAAATGATCCACCCCAACCACCAGTGTACACCCACGCTGTATTATCATAGCCAATACCCCAAGTTACACCCGCAGAACATGCTTCAACTCGTCGTAGGTGTCCACCCATCTGCCTCCAGAACATGTCAGATGGTGGTACAATAACCTGGATAAAGATTGACACAGTCAAATCACATCTTTACATAGCATGTATGAAGGTAGGCAGCAATAGCATGCCTGTATTGTATTAGGGAAGTACTCAGTTGAAATCTCAGATGTGGTTCCAGCTATTCTAATCAAGGTACCCCTCCTAATTCAGAACACTAAATATTCTCTCATTTACTTCAGGGCTGTGTAACTGTGCATTTGATAATTACTACAGGATTCTGACGACGGTGTATAACACAAAGAGATATTGGGTTTTCAGACTTTATCCATCGTCCTGGTTTTAAGATAACTAAGAAAAACACGACGTTTTGGAAACTGGATCTGTTTCTGTCCTCAGGTGAGGGAAAACACCTATTCTGTTGGGCCCCTTAGAAACAGCTAGCCTCAATCACTGGACACTGGACACTGTGTGTTCTTTTGATACCTACTTTTCTTCTTTCATATTTTCACATTTATGTGGGACATCAATTAAGAATCCCCACCACCTCTGTCTTCCCCAAAGCTCCTCCTCCTCTTCAATTTCGTATCATATTCTTCCTTCCTTCTGCATGCTAAATTTCCTAACCTGTTGTTCCCATCTTTATCTCAGTCTCCTTCCTGAGAATTTTCTTCTTACTTTCATGCTCAGACCTTCTCTGGAATTTTCTCTTCATTCATTCTTAAAATACATCCATCCCATCAATGTTATGTATTACTTTATCAGTCTACGTATTAATCTTTACATTATCTTGATTCCTCTGAATTTGATTTGTTTCATTCTGGTCCATCACATATTTAAGTTTTTACTACTTGAAAACTTGGCACCCTTACGTGTTTCGGTCCTTACGGACCATCTTCAGAGGGGACATCGATACTTATTTGGAAACTACTATCACAATGGGTGTTCTGAGTGCTAAAATACATACACACACAATGCCTGCAATGTACAATATACACAAAATCCAACTTTTCCACAATCACAGCAGCTTTCCTGGTATATTAAAGTTTTTAAAACTTTGTTAAGTTAAAATTTATAAACCAAGTAGGTTCGTGTCCTTTCTCCTATTGTCTTTCTTGATGGGGGCTGAACTTGTGCTGCCTGTCTACCTTCAGACGGAGATTCTTGGTATCGTCCTGTGTTTGTTCGTGGCATGCTGTGTTGTTTTCGCTGATTAGTAGTAAAAACTTAAATAGTCACACTGGATGGAGTTGTTTTGTCTTTGTACTTGATTCCTCTGTTTATTCTTCCCTCTTTACCTCTCAGTATACGTCTTAAAAATTTCATCTCAGTTGCTGTTAAGACTACCATGCTCCATCTACTGTGGGAAGGGAAGCAGGTCAGTGTGAGTTAGCGCTGTAGATCATTATGTCATCATTAGAAAGTTACTAGATTCTGTTTTCAACACACTTCAGTATTCATACACTGGTGGGAAATTCAAACATACACAAAGAGAACTTTTGTTCTGTAAAGTTGGCTATACAAGGTATGATGTAGTCTGGTACACAGAGTAGATGGACTTTAGTATCTATCTTTGTAGAGTCTTCTTTGAAATACCAAATCACACAACCATAAGCCTGTTAACTGGAATCGTAAGATCATTCAGAAGTCTGTTACAGCTCTGGAATGAGATGATGAAACATACACTACAACAGCAGCTTTTTATTAACAATAAAACCTGTTCTAAATATGTGCCTCTTCTTCTGACAACTACAGAATACAACATGATCCCTCTTTTCCATGACTCCTTTACCCAACCACCTAAGTTACGGGCCAGCAAAGCCTTATTAAGAGATAGGATTCAGTTCCACCGGTTTAAGAAAGCCGCTCTCAACAAACAAATTAACGACCTAGAATCATTTTTTCGGAAATCAACAAATAATTCAGACCAACTCCGCATCCTGGCTGCAGTAGAAAGCTCATACAAACATCATTTTCTGAGGCTGAAGGAGATCCAGATTCGAAAATTCTCAGCTCTAAAAAATCACCATCAGTCCACCAGGACACCGGAAACCACTCAGGGGTCCGAGAAGTTTGTCATAAACTTGTCCGACCATGTTCTTACAGAATCTGAGGAATCAATTCTCAAGAAAGGGCTGAATTTTGCAATAACCAACAGAATATCTAATCTTGACATGGCATGTGCGGCAGAATCTGCAAGATCCAAACTTCCCCCCGCCATGGGTATGGAGTTCAGTTGGCGGATCCGGTGTATGTTAGAGAAAGCAAAAACTTTTTCATCTAATATGACGAGGAGGGAATCCATGGCTTTAAAATCCTTAAAAAATAATAGACATATACGAATTCTACAGGCTGACAAGGGAAACTGTACGGTGGTTTTGAACGAGTCTACTTACAAGGAGAAGATAGCCAGCCTCCTAGATGCAAGTGTATATGAAATTTTACGTAAGGATCCTACAGCTCAAATTGAGAGAAAAATACGGACACTCCTTACTAAACATAAAACTATCCTTCCTACTGCACTGAAGAGAAAATTGACCCCTTATCATAGTAAACCCCCTCATCTTTACGGACTCCCCAAAATTCACAAGCCTGGTATCCCACTCAGACCAATAATTAGTTCTATTGATTCTCCTTGTTATGCATTAGCTGAATTCCTCCATAAGATCCTCAATCCTCTATCTGGAAACACAGGTTCCTTCGTAAAGAATTCTGAACACTTTATAAAATCAATACAGGATATCAACCTGCAAAAAGAAGACTGCCTTGTAAGTTTTGACGTTGTTAGTCTGTTCACCAACGTACCAGTGGAAGAGGTCTTACAAATCATAAGAGATAGACTCAGAATGGATTCTTCCTTCCCAGAACGCTCACCTCTACAAGTTGAAGACGTGATGGAACTACTGGACATCTGCTTAAAAACCACATACTTCCAGTTTGAAGATACGTTCTACCAGCAAAAGGAAGGTATGGCAATGGGAAACTCACTATCCCCGGTGGTCAGTAATATATTCATGGAGCATTTCGAAGAAATAGCAATAGACACAGCTGAATACAAGCCTGCAAAATGGCTGAGATATGTCGACGACACGTTTGTGATATGGCCATATGGACCGGAAGAGCTACAGAAATTTCTTCAACATATTAACAACATCAGGCCTACCATCAAATTCACTATGGAAGTTGAAGTCAACAATGCACTTCCATTCTTGGATGTTTTGGTTATGAAGCAGGGTCCAAAACTGACCACCAAAGTGTACCGAAAGCCTACTCATACTGGTCGTTATCTTCACTTCAAGTCCAATCACCCACACCACGTAAAAAGGGGAGTTGTTCATAGTTTGATCAACAGAGCGAAGGTCATATGTCAAAACAAGAAGGATTTTAGTAAAGAAATCAGAAACATAAGACATGATCTAATGCTCAGTGAATATCCTAAAGAATTCGTGGACTCTGTATTGAAGCCATCGACAAGAAATCGTCCCTCTTCAGACACAACATACCGAGGCACTGTAATCATTCCGTATGTCAAGGGTATCGCCGAGAAATTCAGACGCATCGGGAATCGTTTTCAGCTTAGAACAATCTTCAAAACGAAACATACACTCCGGGGGACATTAATGAAAACTGGACCCAGTAGAGATGCCCAGAAAACGAAGCAGTGTGTGTATAGCATCCCTTGCGACTGCGGCAGATGTTACATCGGTGAAACTAGCAGACCCCTAGAAGTACGCATTAAGGAACACAAATATAATATGACACAGGGTTTGCTGGAAAAGTCTAAATTGGCCCAACATGCATACGAGGAAGATCACAAAATTCTTTGGAATGAAGCGAAGGTTTTGCAGATCGAACCCAACACCACATATAGAAGATACAAGGAATCAGCCCACATGTCTCTGCTGGACCATCCTATCAGTCAACCCAGTATGGATATCTCTCCCATCTGGGCCCCTGTCATTACAGCAGAAATCAAGAGACTACAGCGACGTCAAGTGTAGTTGGTTTGGGTAACTCTTTGTTTCATATGTTGGTACCACAAGGAGTATTGCTTCTCTTCCGGTATGATTTCATTCACGATATTTCTCTGGTGCTAAGCCTCAAATTATGATATCTTCAATATTTCTTAGCTCCCACAGATGATTTTGTTGTGCTTGTATACCACAAGGAGTATTGCTTCTCTCCCGGTATGATTTCTTTCTCTGGTGCTAAGCCTCAAATTATGATAGCTTCAACATATCTTAGCTCTCACAGATGGATTAAGTTGTGCTTCTTTTATGAATCCCTTCGGAAATTGGCATAGTTGTCCGGAGATAGGGGCTAGCTCTGTCTATTGGACCCAACTGAGTAGGTTTTACCTGAAGATGGGGACAGAATCCAGTTCCCGAAACGTTGTGTTTTTTAATAGAAATTAGACTGTTTTTTAGAAGAGACAAGATGATGGATAATGTCCAGCAAAATATTAATTGTACCTAAGTTCTTGTATAGCAGTAATATCTAGTTTATAGCTATCTAGTTGTCCAAGTAGCATTTTTAGTGCTCCAGCTCTGTAAAGAGATAATACATTCCAAGATCTAATTCTCAAATCCTTTAAACATTTTCCAGATCATCGTGAATAGGTCTGTCCGGTACTCTTTCCTCAGATTTCTGAACAATTTAGTTTTTACGATGTGAGGTTGTTAGCCTCACACCCAACCCCCAAACTGGAGGACCTCTCTCGGCCTGGCTCCTACCCTTTGACCTGCCCGGCATGGGTGGCTCTACCAGTAGCTACGCTATGGCCGGCATAGCTCTCATGGTCTCAGAAACTCTCAAACGGCACCACCATGATAAGGTGGAGATACCACTGGTGGGGACTTATGCGTTTGGCATGATTTAAAAAAAAAACAGCCATCAGTTCTCTTAACAGAATTATCAAGTTTATTGTAATGTAGTCACAGTGCATCTTCTGTGAGGAATGATCCAAATTTTTAAATATTATTTAGACGTAATTCAGGCTTCAAAGGATTAACAGTGTGAGGTTACATAGCATCAAATAAGAGATTAATAGTAACAGATGAAATGAGCGGTCTCCGTAGTCTAGAGGTAACGTTCCCACCTCATGACTCGTGGTACGCGGGTTCAAACCCGGCGGAGGTCGTGGAATTTTTAAGGGTGGAAAAATTCAGGGAACAAGTCCTCCGGGAGGGACTTTAAGCCGTGGGTCCCGTGTCATAGCTTTACGGCACGTAAAAGAACCTCATATCTCCAAAGGAGGTCACTGAGCTAAATTCAAGGACATTTCCCGCCCAACAGTAGTCTCTAACGCCTCTGATAGATGGGGGAAGCATTATAGATACCGCCAAGCCAGTAGAGGCCGAACTCGCTGGCTCGGTTGGGACTGATGGTACGCACCAATATCGGTAGGGTATAGAGACTGGTAGAATATCATAGTGGGAAGCACAATGGACCAATACTGGACTCAGTTCATGGGAAAACCCACCCTCTCCAATAACTAACTAACTAACTAACTAACAGATGAAATGGGAAGATAATGATGAATGGTAACTTAGAATGGATATGGAAGGAGGCAACACAGCCTACTCAAAGATTCCAGTCACTTCAAAGGCCTTGAGGAAACTACGAAAACATGACTCAGAATAGCCAGTAACTGAGCCAAGATTCAAACTGGGTACATCCTCAGAATTACTGCATTTTTTGCCTTCATCCATTATCCGGTATTCTAAAAACCAGTGAACACATTTTGGAGATTGGTTCTGTTTTCTGTCATCAGGTGAGGGGGGAGGGGGGGGTGACATACTCTGTTGGGTAACTTAGAGCTAACCTCAATCATTGGACCCAACACAGTTTTCAAAACATTGTGTTCTCTAGAATACCAGACAATGGACAAGGTCCAAAAACCCAGTAATTCTGAGTCCATCATCAAAACCCTTTAGAATCTACTGCATACAGCCTGAACATAAGTCTAGACATCACTGCAATACCAACCTATTTGGTTAAATGGATGGACAGAGAGAGATACAAAAATGTATATAACTTTGTACAGGACATGCTAAAATACTCTATGCACAAAAAATCCTTATAAAGAACTAAAGCAATTAATACATACCATTTTAGATTGATAGATGACTTTGTTTAGTGATACATCACCATTTATTCCAACATGAGTAATTCTGTGAGGTTTCTGACGATGTGTATAGTAAGTATACAAATTCCCATCCACAAAAATCTGGAAATAATATCTTCATATTTACCCTGAATACTATAAACAGCATAATAGTACAACACTCTTCATACTTACAATAACTTAATGGAGAAACAATGGTGGGAATATATATGCATAGATCACACAAATGGGTGTTCCACATTGACCAATTAAATTCTGTCATATTTCTCAAAAAGATTCATTGTATAAAATAAGTATACAGTATTGAATACTTTTCCTCATTCTTTTATATAAGTGTTGTCTAAACCACCTTTCTATTGCAGTATACTAGATATGACAGTCAAACACCATCACTAATGTGTTTGTATCTTTATTTTCTGCAGCCTGTTATTCATTCATTCATTCATTTATTTATTCACATTCCATAAGATCTTTGCAAGGTCGAAAAACAACCAATTAGATATAGATATCATCAAGTAGCTTAATCACTTATTGCTTATCAATCAAGCAGCTGTCAAAAAACAATTAACAGTAGATAAGGTTTATATTAGTCATAAAAGAATTAATCTTAAAAACAGTAAAAACATTGACAATTTTAGAATAAAAAATTCAGTCAAAATATTATGTACAAATCTTGCTTATACATTGAAATAATTATCTAAAAACCAGTTCATAATATAAGAAGAGTTTAGAATGGTAATATAATGATAATAGCTGTACTAAACATTGACAATATAAGATAACAAATTGAGTATAACTGGTAATAAATAATAAATAATAATAAAAATTCCTTTAATTTGTCTTTAAACTGTTTTATATCATTTGAAATTAGCTTAAGTGAGTTGGGAAGTGCATTATAAATCCTTACCGCCATATGATACACCCCATTTCCATATATCGCCAAATTTACTTGGGTCATGTGTATGTCCATAATGTGTCTGGTATTAATTTCATAGTGAGCTTTGTTTCTATCATATATTTCTCTGTTTTTTACAATAAACATCATCAAGGAGTATATGTATTGTGATCTTAATGGAAATATATATGAGGGGGGACCCAAAAATAACCGGAAACGACCTGTTGCGCGCGCATGCTTTGTAGTTACGAGTTGTGCTGCTAGGTGGTGTTAGCTGGGGGTCTCCCGCGACTGGTAGTGAGCTGGCATCAGTCTGAGTTAAGTGGTTTGTCTGTGGTGCTCTGTTGTGTGCGTTCCTGTTTCAACCTTTTGGCAATTAGTGAGATGGCCGACCAGAAGGAACAAAGAGTGTGCATGCAATTGATGAAGATCGTCGAAAGACCATTGACCAACTTTCTGAGGAAACAAACATCTCATGGAGCACGGTCCAGTGAATTTTAACCGAAGGTTTGCACACGAGACAGGTGTCTGCAAAATTTGTTCCTCACTTGCTCAGAGATGACCAAAGAGAAAACCGCGTGAATGTTTGCCGCGACTTGAAGAGTGAAGTGCAGTTTTCCCTAACAGAAAGCAAAATTTCATGCACACTCTTTGTTCCTTCTGGTCGGCCATCTCACTAATCGCCAAAGGGTTGAAACAGGAACGCACACAACAGAGCACCACAGACAAACCACTTAACTCAGACTGACGCCAGCTCACTAACAGTCGCGGGAGACCCCCAGCTAACACCACCTAGCAGCACAACTCGTAACTACAAAGCATGCGCGCGCAACAGGTCGTTTCCGGTTATTTTTGGGTCCCCCTTTGTACATATCTTTAAAATGTTCTCTACATGAATCTCTAAAAGCACATCCTTTCATTATTCTTACAGCTCTGTTTTGTAGCTTGAATACTCTTTCAGCATGACACAAGTTACCCCAGAACATTATACCATATGACATGACAGAATGGAAATATGAGAAGTAAACATTTTTTAATGTTTTCATGGAGACTATTTGTTTTACATTTCTTATCATATAGCAGGCTTTGTTCAATTTCTTTATTATGTCTTGTATATGACCATCCCAAGTTATGTCATTTTGGATTGTCAGGCCAAGAAATTTAGTGTAATTAGCATATGTATGTATCATGTATCAAAGGTATACTTAGGAACCATCAACAGAATTGATTATAAACCAAATGTTTCATACTCGGGTTATTTTATTTGCATCCCACTACACATTTCGATCTATAAAGTTCATCATCGGGTGGTTTTTATGAATTATATATGTTGTTACTGAATTATTAAAATGGATTCTTTTTTTTTTTACAATTATAAGTAACATAAGTTTCAACTTTGAGTTTACGTTCTTTTTGTGTGGGATATGTCTCAAATAATGTACGCTAAAATTTAAACACATTAAAAGTTAAAACTCTAGTAGTTATGTAGGATTACATAAAAATGGAATTATAATTTTTTTAATATTTGAAATGGGGAGGGGGTGGGTGTTTAGAGAATTCATTATTAGATAACGCCGATGGGTTTCATGGTTTTTAATATTTATTAGGCATGCAAAAACGTTCTTTTTTATGTAAGGAGGTGACTGGTTGGTGTGTGGAGTTCGTGATACCATAGGTAAATATGTGGTTTTGTCTTTCAGAGTTGCAGTATGTGTTACATATACAAGGGGCAGTCAAAAAGTTCCCGGAATGGTGGTATAGCACTCCAGTGGTAGGACATACAGCAGCACTTACCTAATCACCTTCAAAGTAGGACCTTTGCGTGCACACACACTTGCTCCATCGATCCTGCCATTGTTGGAAGCAGCAGTGGAAGGCTTCTTTTGGAATCTTCCGGAGCTCAGCCATCACATTTGATTTGATGTCCTCCATGGTTGCGAAACGGGTTCCCTTGAGGCCCATTTTCAGAGTGGGGAACAGCCAAAAGTCACTCGGAGCGAGATCCGGAGAGTACGGTGGTTGAGTGATGACAGGAATGTTTTTCTTGGTGAGGAATTGCTGCGCAACAAGCAGTGTGTGGCTCAGTATGTTTTCGTGATGCAGAAACCACTGGCCCTGCCACGTGTCGTGCCACTTCCTCCGAACTGCACCGCACAACCTCCGCAAAACTTGCACGTAGAAATTGTCAGTCACAGTCTGTCCAGGCGGTACAAATTCATGGTGCACCAAACCGTCGATGTCAATGAATGCAATGAGCATCACTTTGTCTTTGGATCTGATGAGGTGTGATTTTATTGGCTGGGGAGATGACGCTGTGTGCCACTCCAATGACTGCATCTTCATCTCCGGGTCGTAGGTGAACACCAATGACTCAACACCAGTGACGATCTTTTTGAGAAACATCGGGTCCTGCATACTTTTGTCAAACAGATCGCCAGTGACCACAATGCGACATTCCATCTGATCCGTGGTCAGCTGCCTCAGAACAAATTTTGCACTGATGCGTCTCATCTTCAAATCGGACAAAATGGCATGAATGGATCCATGAGAGATACCAACTTCTTGCTCCAACTCCGCAATGGTCATTCTTCGATCATATCGAATCAGCTGTCACACTTTTCCAATCATTTCTTTGGTTCTGGATGTTGAAGGTCTCTCACTGCGCTGGTCATCCTCTAACATCTCCTGCCCATTCTTAAACTGGGAAAACCAGTCGTAAACTGCAGAGTTCTTTAGTGCAGTATCACTGTAAACTTGCTGCAGGGCCGACTGCGTCTCTGAAGCAGATTTTCCCAATTTACACATGAACTTGATGTTTGCATGCTGTTCAAACTGCAACATTGTGCCGAATGACCAACACTCACAACTAACTCACAACAGAACAGTAACGACACTGTACAGTGAAACCTGTCCAGACCTGTTGCACCTGCAAGCAGATATGCTGAGCTCCCTACCACAACAGTGTGTGCGCTATCTTATCGCTTGTTCTCCATCTGCAGGGGAATTCCGGGAACTTTTTGACTGCCCTACGTACTGGTGTATATACTGTAGCGTGTAGAGCAGTTACTGGGTGATGACCTCAAAAGAAACAACAAAACATCATTTGCTGCTAGATAATAGATTCTTAATAAGCAAGTATACAGAACTTCTACTTAGCAACGCCTGAGCAAACAAACACGTTCCCACAGAAATGGTTGGAGTACAACACTGAACGGTGCTTTCTATGTGGTCCATACCGATATGTTATAACTCACAAAAGTCACATTTTCAGTAGTCAGTAAAGAGTTGACAGCAGACTTGACAGACATAAGCAGAGGACACTGTTTGGATCCATTACCAGGAAACAGCTAGTGAAAACAAACTGAGAAGACTTAATATGTACGGTAGTGAATTGCTGAGTACATGAATTAGCAATAGCAGTATAGTCATGTGTAGCTACTTGTGGTTACGATCTAGAAGTGCTCAATAAATCCACACACCCTCTATTGTCACTCATACATGTGACAAATTTTAATATGCACTGAAACTCTACAAGAAAAAATCCACATATTCGCCTACAATATCACAAACGCCACACACCAACCAATCACCTCCTTACACAAAAAAGAACATTATCACACACCTAATAAAAATCAAAAACCATGAAGCCTGTCTATACTACCTGATAATTAAAAATAATTCCCGATGAAGTCAATGGATTTTTCAATTGACCTAAATCTTCCAGCCATACTATGGCCCTGGGATCGACTAAGCCTCTAACAGAAATAAGTACCAAGTATCATCCTGGGGGTAAAGGGGAGCTGGCGTGTAAGGCTGACAAACTCACCCCCATCTATGAGCCGATTGTCTAGAAAATGTGGGAACCTCGATGTCTCAATGTACTTGGAGAAAACCTACCAGTGCCACTTTGTCCACCACAAATCCCACATGAATGGGAATAAAAATTCAGCAGTTTCATTGTTTTTCAGATCCACTGCATTGTGTACTGAAGAAATCATTTGAAAAGAATGAAATGAAATTGTCTCCCACAGATGGCATACTATTATCTGAGGGGATGATTATATACAGGACACAGACAATGGAGACACCAAGATTATCATGTTGTTAGCAGAAGGAGTCTTAATGATGTAACTCTGTAAAATTGATTAATGATGTTGTCGTCGTTATGCATTGCATTACGTACCTTGAACACGTCTTCCTCACAATAAATATTAATGCTGAATTCTGATCCTTGTTTGAAAACCATCTCACCTTCCCTTTCCTCTGCTCCCCATTCACCACTCAGCAAAGAATTTCTAACAGTCACTGATTCTGGGAAGCGTGGATTAAAATGTAATATAATATCTGTCTCATTCTTATGTCGCTGGGATATAGATGGACACTGCAAATTGATAGAAAACCTACAAAAACACAAAAGAGAATGATAATTGTCTTACTTTATGCATATCCCATGAATTATCACACATTTTCTAAGTAAATTTATGTTTCATTAATAGCTTCCAGGATGTTGGGCCCACATTTTTTGGTCCATGAAGAATCCGTCCCATATTCTTGCCCACTGCAGCTTATTGACAATCTCGGGTACATTTTATTTATGCTCAGGCTATTCTACATGCTGCATATGGTATGCTCTGCGAGTTAGAAAAGACAAAGCAACACATGGGCAACAGCTACTGAAAAATTTGGTACAAGCAACAAACCTGAAATTATAATCATAATGAAACATGATTCATTTTATCAGCTACAAAATCAAACTATATTCTGAAGAGCTAATTGTTGAGGAAGAAAATAATTTAATTATATGGCCATCAAAATATGTTTTACTGGAGAAACAAAATGTGGACATAAAATAAGGATGATCTAAAACAGTCGGAACAAACAACTGTACAAAACAGAAAGTGGATGAAATGTTGACAGACATACCATCAATTTATTATTTTCGTACATAACAAGCTGAACATTGCAGAAGTAGGAATGACTGAACGTTCAAATTCAAACACTGCTTTGATATAATTGTGGTTGATATGCACATCAAATTCATAATAAATTTAAAAGACAAGATTTATATAAGATTTGAGGCTTTCACGGCGGTGACTATGAAGAAAGCAGTCTTCTGGGATTTGGCACCGTGTATATGTGGTCTTAACCGATGTTTCGGAGGAACGTGTCACCTCCATCTTCAGTCTGCTTTTACCGGTTCTCATGGTCTCTTCGCTTGCAGATTTCTTATATTTTTTCTTCTACCCTGAAGACGGAGGCGATACGTTCCTCCGAAACATCGGTTAATACCACATATACACGGTGCCAAATCCCAGAAGACTGCTTTCTTCACAAGATTTATAGTTCACACATTTCAACCATTCTGCAAGATAGCCTATGGTTAACACAGTTAAACCTACCTTTCAATGTTCTCAAACACATCTGACAAACATGCACTCCAACCACATGAAGAGCATGAAATAAAATAGCAACTGAGAGGTTAAAACTTAACGAAGGCCATGGTTACTTCCATACACATCCCTTCCAACTCACTGTTCACAGTAATCCTACCATTCAGTACTATGCATAGCCTATGCAGTTGAAATACATTGTTACATAACCAAGCATCCATCAATAAAGAACAGATTCTTCCATTGTTCTATGTCAAGTTTAATCATACTCACTGTACTATCCTGTCGAGACAAAGATATTCTTCGGTACATGAAATTTTTATTTAAGAAAAATTCACAACACAAACACCTTTCAGAAGAAGATTTATAACATCTTGTTATAAAAGAAGTTTTCTAAGTCTTATTATATTGTGTGGTTGTTTCTTGATTACCTGCTTTGCAGATTAACCATAATTTTCAAGTTACGGAGTATAACTCAGGGGGCACATGGTAGCATAGTTGGTTGAGGGGCTATGCTACAAGAAGGAAGGTTGTGGGTTCAAATCCCGATGAGGTCATTGGATTTTTTTTCAATTGACCTAATCCTTCCAGCCTCACTATGGCCTTGGGGTTGACTCATCCTCTAACAGAAATGAGTACCAGGAATTAATTAAATAATTTTCCTGTGGAGTAAAGCGCAGCAGACACATAAGGCTGACAACGTTACCATCTTTGAGCCAATTGTCTAGATAATGTGGGACCCTCAATGTCTCACAACCCTACGGGCATTCATGGCCTGGTACAGGGATAGCTTTACTTTTTTTTTACTGAGTATAACTTTCCGTAATGATATAAGTGTTGTCCAATGTATCTGTTTCAGTAACATTAATCAATGATGCTTTACTTACCACAATATGCACTAAACAGTACATGTTCTCACCTGTACATGCACACCAAGGAAATTAAACACTTGATAGTTTGTAAACATGTTAGTGAATGATGTGGTCATTGCACAGGGCATTCAGCAGAAAGGGAAGTTAAGCACCAATGGGTGCAATCATTTTACATTAATAATTACAATCATAAACTCTGCTCAGTGCCTTTAGGAACATCTTGTTTTGAGTAATCCTGAATGGAATAGTCATAAAGGTACTGACATATTTCTATAAATGAGGATGAAGACAATATTCGGTTGTTCCTCAAAGCTATATTTATTATTTACCGTGACACATACTGACTTACACATGATTACAACAGATGATCTGCTAGATGTGGAGAGGTACTCTTTACAATAGCAGCTACAAGCAACAGGCAAAATATAAATCATCAGAGAGGGCAAATAATCAAATCACTTACAATCTACATTTTACATTGCTCCAGGATGTTTCTAATTGGAATATCATACTCTTATTATTATTATTATTATTAGAGGGGGTGGGTTTCCCTATGCACCGCGACTAATAGTCTATTGTACATCCCCCTTTGATATTCTACCAGTTGCCATACCCTACTGGTACTGGTGTGCTATCAGCCCCGTTCAGCCAACGAGGTCGGCCCTTGGTACCTGATACTCTCCCCATCTACCAGAGGCATTGGAAACTACTTGGGCAAGAAACTTTTTGCCTAATTTTGCTCAGAGGTCTCCTAGAGACATGAGGATCTTTTACGTGCCGTAGATCTACGACACGGGACCCACGGCTTAAAGTCCCTCCCGGAGGACTTGTTCCCTGAATTTTTCCGCCCTTAAAAATTCCACGACCTCCGCCGGGTTTGAACCCGCGTACCTTGAGTCATGAGGTGGGAACGTTACCCCTAGACTACGGAGGCCGCTTATATCATACTCTTTCTAGTGTGAACAGCTGTCATTAAAATACAGTTAATTTCTAAAACCAATATATATCAGTCAGGATTACTCAGTTTACATTGCAATGGACCACAGGTGGGATGGCCAGTGTTCAGCTTCCAGCAGGTAACATTTTTTGCTTCATAGTGTCCACACTGGCTCTGGGGGCCACCCAGCCTCCTATCCAATGGGTGCATGGTGTGGTGCTTAATTAAGAACTTTACCTTTTTTATATATACATAAGTACTTGCTAGTTGCTTTGATGTGAATCCTGCCTTCAGTGAGAAGTAGCATATCCAGTAGGCTCTACTGTTTACATTCCTCAGAGGTTTTAACTTTCAGGCAGATTCATTAGTTGTTGTGCCATACTTAATCAAACATTGTAATTACAATTGCTGTTAACACATTATGGTCCAAAGCTATCTTAATGATATCAGTTACGTGTATTCAGCCAAACCTACACACCGATCATAACAGTATTACATACTCAGAACTATCTTTAATGATCAAAACCATATTGTGTATTCAGCCACAGCTACCTTACCGATCACAACTGTCATGGACGCAACCTTGTATCGTTAATATCGTTCCTGGTGGAAATCCATTATGAAGATGAGCTTCATAAGGTGTTTCTTTTCCTGCCACATCCAATTCCTGAGCATACATTTCACCACTTAACTGGCTTGCCTACAATAACAAACAGTGTTACAATTCTATTTCATATCAAAACACTTTAGCTCTCAGCAGCACTTAAAATGAATCAATAAGAGGCATGTTCTTTCAACTGTAACTGCTTCTCACCTCAAGTATGGCAGGATCAAAGACAAATACATCTCCAAGACCAGTTGTTATCCAAATCGAACCTGGACTTGGTGGTCCATGTACACCAAACATCTGGCAACACACTGATCCAAGAAATGTTATTATACAAAAGTAATAACTACAACAATGCACATAAAAAATTATCCAAAGTGTTACTCATTTCCTGTACATCAACAGAAATAGAGCACAGGGTTTTATTATATCATCACAGATTTTATTTTGGCTTGGTTTCATACTATGATGATACATAACCCCACAACGGATAATTATGCATCTTAGAGCAAATATTCTAACACCAAATGTTTGCAGACCTCATGCAAGAATGTAGAAGCAGTCATGGCCAAATTTGAGGTACTAACCCAACATTCGCCCAGAAGAACTGCAAAAAAACCATGAAAAACCTCAGTTGGGATAGCCAGTATCTGTGCTCAGATTTGAGCCCAGGGCCTCTTCTATCACTGAAAAAGCAACAAACCTAACATGTATTCATTCTGGTAACTAACCCCATTGATACTGTCAGTAAGACATCAACTTGAAATAAAATGTTTCACAGAACGTGTTTCTGGCTAAGCCAAGAAGCATCCTTGTATCACTGGTCTAGTAACATCAAATAAAAGCAGTATGAGCCTTGCCATCTCTGACTCGACTGACATCTGGTCAGAATAAGCAAGTCCATGCATAAAAAACATGACTCTGACATACAGAACAAACAAATAAACCTGTTAAGCCCCAACACTAGCAGCCAAGGAGTGCCCGCTGTGATAAAAGATGGCCTAAGCTTCAACTCTTCACCTCTTTTAATGACAATGTAGTCTTCTGCACACATAGAATGCTGGCCCTAATACAGTTAGCTCCTCAAATTAATGAAGTACAGCCTTACTGCACTCTATGAACATGAATACAGGTATGTTCTTGTGGGAAAAGTCTATTCTCACAATGGTGAAAATGACGGACAACAGGGTGGGTTCTTTACAAATGTGTGGCAAACTCTACTTGCTAACTTCTTACAGTTATCTCTAACCTGGGTATATTTATTGAATATTCCAAGCAGCAGTATTGTGTTCATGTATCCCAATCCCTCCACAAAACAAAATCAAAAAAATGGAAGGCCATTAGCACACAAGCAGATGTTGTTTTGACCTTCACGCCAGCACAGATGAGAGATGTGAAATGTCCAAGTGCCATCATGGTCATCAGTTTGAGGAATTTGTTGAACAGCACACAGTAACACAGAGGTAGTCTCAAACTGTACTGCTATTTCTGCACTGCCCTTATATTGATATACCTGAAGTGAGGTTGGCCATCCAGTCTTCCATGTCAGTGTCACCACTGAATTGCAGTTTAAGAGGAGATGAGCCCTTTGTCAGTTTAGGAGTATGAATAGCAATACGAGGCTTGGAAGGTTCACTACAGCAAACAACACATGTGATTTCTGATAAGCTGAACTGCATCTGGCAAGGAATCAGACACCATATTACATTATGATAATTTTAATGTGTGATAATATGAGTACCAATGAGACTTACACTGTGCTGATGTTAACCCTCTGATGTAGTTCATCTAAAACATATTTATTTCCTACCTCTCAAAACACTCACTGTGATACCATTAAAAAGACCGACCATTAATACTGTTTAGAGAAATAACTACTGTTCATTCTAACAACCACAATTTCTTTTTACACTTTACAGACAAAATAAAGGCGTTTTTAACCTTAAAGCAGGTGGTACAGTGGGTAACCACTGTACTTTAAATGGTAAACTACTTACCTTTGTATGGTTCTTATCTGGACTTAGTATTGAGAGTGTCCCCGAGTCCAAACTGCCTTTCTCACTGCCCACCCATTCCAATTCAAGCGTGCAATCCTCATACTGTTGGTTTGAATCTTTAAGTTGGCACCGGGCTTTGCCAGTTTTTACCCATGACGACCTGAAAAGAGAAACATCCTGTCACAGTTTCTGACTGCAATGAGTCTATATCTGACTACAAAATGGCTGGCAGCAGCTGATCATGTGAAGCATGATGTAATGTACAGGTCGTGTGCATTTAAACTAACTGATGAAAAACGTCTATCCACAAACCGAGAAGAACTCCTGCAGGATCTCTGGCCAAGCTGGGGAAACAGAAGATCAAGTGGAATACTATGAATAATAAGTGAAAACAAGTGATATGTAACAGGATGCTGCAGTACAATATTATCATTAAACATACTTGATATCACTCTAAGAGAACTTCTAGGTATATGAGCCAAAATTTTACAAACTGTTAGGTTCTTTATATTAAAAAAATGTGACTCACATTTCAACAGCTTTCTCATATTTTTCAAAGCCTGACCCTTCTTCTGGTAACCGTCTCTTCAGTTCTTGCAAAATTTTGACCCTCCAAGGCTTAGATAATTCTACTTCAGAAGCCACATGTGCCTCAACAAACCTATAAAGAGAAAAAAAAGAGCATTCTTACAAAACCTTCTGGAAACTAGATGTTCTTCCATCCTCAAGTGAAAAGGCAAGGAGGTACAACTGTCCGGTGATTGAGGTAAGCTGTTTCTAATGTAACTGAGAGAAAATGTGCCTCTCCCATTTCTGCACCAAAGGATGGAAATATATGTGGCATTTAGACCCATTGCTAAAGCAGCCATACAACAGCTGTTGCTAGGTAATGGCTGCAACGGACACACAAGCAACAATGGAAGGGCTGTTCAAGGCGGTGTTCTTAGTGCAGTTCATGCCAAGGCTGTATAATGAGGGCCACCTACCATTAGAGGAGATTCTTTAGACAGCAGTGAGAAGAGTAGGAGGATGGTGTGAGATGGCCGCCAGCCTGCGAGGAAGTGAGACTGGGACTAGGGGAACATCCACTGGTGAAGACACAGCAGACTGAGAAGACTTAGTATGTGCTGCAGTGAACCAAATAAGATGAGCAGTATGTTTACAATGGAAATGTCCAAACATTCATAGTAGTTATGGGCCTGTGACAGGAATTGTTTTTTTTCGAAGACTTGCACTATTACCGACAGATGAAAAAAGTCAATACACTATACTGCCAGGGCCATTGGGTATTTTTTTTTCTTTGGCACTACAGCCCCAGTGGGCCTAGGCCTACCTCCATGAACTTCTCCGTTCACTTCGGTTTTTCTAGATCTTATACATTTGGTAGGACTCCTTGGGCCGGTGATCAGCTTGTCGCAAGGCCTCTACCTGTACACAAACACAGAAAAACACATACACACACTAAACAACCAAGCCCTGAGTGGGATTCGAACACACGATCCCGGTTTCCAAGCTAGCAAAGACAGTACATGCCTTAGACCGCTCGGCTACTGTGACCGGCATTGGGTATATACAATGTACATATGTATATACAATGTATATGAAAACTGGAAACTATCCTGCGAATTTGTGATGGGGATAAAATCAACTGCACTTTTTGACATATTTTCTGCTGTAATTCCAATGGAAATGAGGCACCTGTAAAACAAAGGAGAACCAGGAGATACAATGTGAGGATGGAAAGTGGATGGTATTTGCTTTGGATAATTCTGAAAGGTGAGCTTCAGTATTAATGACGTTAAACTCTTAGGTTCTACTATCAGTGAGTATATAAATAAGTTAACTGACTTACTACAGTAGCATTTCTCCAACTCTATAACAACCAAGCCATCTCTCTCTCTCACAAAACCCTTTTATTCTGTTTAATAAATTTTAATACAAGAACGAGCACATAATCCATAATGAGATATAATTTAATTTGTGCTTCAGTGTAATGCAAGATCAGTAAATAGTGCATGGGTTCAGAGATCACATCTTGAAATTTCAATGTGTCAGTTCATACCACAGTCTGCTCAATATTTTACTTTCTGCATAATCAGCATTTCAAGTCAATGTACTCAGAATGTTAAATTACCAGCTGGGGAGACATAATGGGTCCACAGCACAAGCCCCGGCTTCCACCATACACCAGGCCACATCACCATCTGCCCAGTACATGGCCTCTGCATCCTCTTCTTCACCAAACACTCCAGAATCTCCAGATACAGGATCAAACACACTTCCGTCAGATTCCGGATGAGCTTCCATCCCCACCATTGAACCCACACTTCGGATGGGACTCCATACTGTAGGATTCTTTTTCACTTCACCCCCCTTCCCTACAAGAAACACTGGCTGAATTTCTGCGACAGCACCTTCAGAGTGCTCCTGGATTACAGCAGAAGTACTGATCATTTCATTACTGCTCTGACTGGACTGTGTGTCCTCTTCATTCCTGCAATAAATGTAGAGTCATCAGTCCTTATTCACAACACCACCCTTCCCTACAACAAACACAGGCACCTTCAGAGTGCACCTGCATTACAGTGGAAGTACTGATTACTTTATTACTGCTTTGACTACACTGTGTGTCATCAGACATGTAAATAAACGTGAAGTCATCCATCCTTCTTCATGAATTTGGTACTTCGTACTTTCATTATTTGTGGCTGAGCTCCCCCAACACATGATCACAAACATTATTTGATGATTGTCCTGTGTTCATCTTCCCGAAGCCACATACAGCTTATCAGCATCTAACCCTTTGTGCTACATCACAGTCCGTACCTGACTGTGTACAGGTAACATAATGTGAAGTGTAGCATCTTTCTTGTTTGAACTATCCACACAACCACATCTCCCAGAAGAAAGACAAGTAAAATTAGCAATATAAGTAGAAACATAAAAGCTGCAAAGAGAAAAAAAGAATAACACTGTGGCATATTTGTTGAAAGTTGAGGAACACCACTAGGTAATGGCACAATAAACATGTCCTTGCAACAGACGTGACCTCAAGCAACAACAGAAGAACTGCTGGAAGCAGTGTTTTCTGGTGAGTCCATCCCAAGGCTATATTACAAGAACCAACATGATAAGCCAGTCAGTCTTGAGATAGCAGTTAGGGAGCACACTCTGTTAGCTGCAAGGGCATGAGGAATAGCTCTTGTTAGAAGACTGTGACAAGGCGATGACTAACTGAGAGTTGAGACAGCCACCAACCAGCAAAAAGGGAAGCCATTGCACATGAAAGCTGAGGAATCTACAACACTGGTAGCCGTTATCAGACAACCAGTAAAGACACAGCAGACTGAGATGACTTAACACGTGCTGTAGTGATTTGTGGAGTGTGTGAATTAGTTAACTGTAGTTATGAGCTGTAACTGTTCAATAAATCCAAATACCAATCCAGTCCCCATGTCTAGTCACTTAACATGTGACAATATTATAATACAATAAAAGAAAACATACATATACTTATCAGAGTACATTCCCTTACTCACAACATCAGGAATGTAGTCCTCATGAAAATGGTGGAATGCTGTATGTCATGACTCATTATAGTCATATGCAGTTAAGCAGATGCCTGTTCATTTGTACTGGCCAGTGAGGTGATATTAATGAAACCCCTTTTTAAGAGATCTTATGTTCTCACAGTGATGAGTATTAACATTAACTTCTGGGAGGATGCCACATAATTTGGAAGACAGGAAACAACATTTTGGAGAAAATGCTGCCACTTCCAAAATGTTGGCACATACACACAAAACATACATGTTGTCATATCCCAAAAGATCATAATCTAAATAAAATTATTTAATCATGGGCAATGACTGAGACACTGATTCAAAACATGAATTTAGTGAAAATGAGAACAATAAATTTGTATACACTGGAAATGAAATCTTATATGCACAGAGAATAAGAAAACGTGGCTACTGTCCTAGTGTTCAGTACAGTAAAGCAATTTCAGTCTCTTCCAAAATTCTCTTTTCCTTAGCTACATTTGAATAACTTGAGATATACTCATCAACACACTAACAAAGTCACTATACAAATATATATATAATTTTAAAATGCTTCAAAATTAATGTATGGAAACAACAGTAATTGATAAATAGGGGAGTCAGAATAAAATTTGGAGGAATAAATTCATGATATGCTTGTTATTACCTACTTCAAAAATATTTTATCATCCTACTAGTTTTCCAAAACATCAAACAACAAATATTTATTAACATTTTTGCCAGTATTTTTGCTTGTTTGTGAAACATGGGTTCTTGCACTGCAAAAAGTAAACAGATTACAAATGCCTGAAAACAGTGTTCAGGAAAATATACATAACTAATATAGATGATGTAAATGCAGAATTTAGGATCTTATAAAAGGAATTTTGTGACTTATACAGGCCACCTAGAGCTGCAAGAACAAAGAATTGTAGGAGTTTACTATGAATCTGACATGTAGTTTTCATGGAGAAGGAAATAAATGCATAGAAAATGCTGGTGCAGAAATCTCTCAAAAGGTAGCCACATGGAAAACTGGGGAGATTAACAAAGACAACAGGGGAACAAGGTTGTTAGGATCAGAAGTGAATGTACTGACATGCCCAATAATGGGTGTTGGTATCAACAGTGTCAAACCTTCAGAGTCTGCTAACAGAAAGTTGTTAATCATTACTATATAGTTCTTGTCAGCCTTACCTCTTCTCCAGCTGTCCTGCCCCACTGCTCTCACTGACCGAGTCTTCTGAGTGGCTTGGCCTCTGCAGAGTAAGAGATGCACCATCACTGCTCTTCTGCCAAAGAGAAGGCTGAAGTCTAAGAGATGTTGGTGTTGGTGCAGATCTTGATGTTTCTTCCCAATCTCGTATCAAGCTCTGTGCATCACCAGAGCAGCTGTTCCTTGCAAGAGAACTCCAACTACGCACTCTTTTCTCCCGTGGAGTCCCACCACACAGACTATGCCTATAATTTGCAGACCAGAGGCTAGCATTGCTGCTCGTACGACTCAGCTGTGTTGGTGCATGTATAGCACGCCACTGCTTTCCTGTCAGTTCTGATGGCAGTACTCCTGTTCGGAAGTATAAACACCTATCTTCACTGCCTATAGCAAAAACCTGTACAAATACAAAGAACATGACTGAAATTTCCTGGCTTCATAACTAACAACTGACAGCAGAACCCTTCTTAAGAGGCTAATCACTGCTCAGCTGATTCATAAATTTCCTCCCTCTTAGGTAACCTAAGGGTTCATTATTATATGAGAGTTGAGGTTCTCACATCAGTGAATATTAAGATTGTGATCTTCTGAGATGTGACACCATACAGTATGGTAGATAGATACCTGAAGAATGTGGTAGTACATCCTCTAAAATGTTCTTACCTACCTAACAAACTACAAAGATCTGAGAAAGAAAGACACCTACTCAGTTGGGCCCCTTAGAAAGAGCTAATCTCAATCACTGGATTGTCCAGTCACCTGAAGATGGAAACAGATTCAGTTTCTGAAACACTGTGTCCTCTATTACCTAGAATTCTGGACAATGGAAAAAGTCCAAAAACCCAGTAATTCTGTGTGTCATCCACCATCGTCAGAACCCTTTAGAATATACTCATACTGCCTCCAACTTCACACTTAAGTCCTGAAAATGGAGGTAATATTCCTATAAAATGTTGGCACCCACCTACGTGACTATGTGGTGATTAATCCAGTTACCACAATAGCTACAAACAACCTTGTGATCTATCAGCAAGTTGATGGAAAGGGAACAACAAGCAGAATAAGGTATTCTGTGTGGACTAACCAATTCTGAATGGAATGAAAGACATTATACACAACAAAAGATTCAACCATCCTATAAATTTAATAAGTAATCCAAACATGAATATAATTATTGAATTACAGGTGACTGGCTGCTCAGAAGAAAGCAGTGTATGAAAGAAAAACATACAGGGGAAGACACATGTGTCCATTAGTCTATCCATCATCTTGAAACTACAGAAATTTCACATTGGGAAATGTATATTAAAATTTATGGAGCTAATTTAATGTAGCACATACTTTATGTACAGATAAAATGAGAGTTCACAGATTTTTCAAGAATCGTATAAAAATATCTCACTTCATCTTGCCCCAGCAGGGTTCTTTGTTTCTAAACCTAAATATTTCCTTGAAAGGGTTTTAATTTGAATCACTTGAAGTACTAAAAGCAATATGAAAACAGTATTGAAGGGACTTTCAAGTAATGTTTCCTGGCAGAGTACAGACACAGGAATGAGTACATAAAAGTAGAAGGTGAACACTCTCAGTAAAGATTAGTTGACAATATTTTCATTATGAGAATTCATCTATTATTTAATTACCTGGCCTCATATTATGAGTTCTCTGCAAAAGTGCATGATATGAAGACATAAAGAGAAAGTCATATCTGTTCATCCTTCCATCATGTTTAATATCTGAAACTATGAAGTGCATCTGGATAAAATTTTATACTAGGAGGATCTACACTATAATTTAAGTTAAATTTGGGTTTGTGGCAGTCCAACATGACACCTACTTTACATTATGTTAAAATTAAAGTTTACTGATTTCCCTGTAAGCACCTCAGATATGCAAAACAGCAAAATCAAACTTGGAAAATACAAGGGTAATTCACATCTGATGGGCATCTTTAAAATATATCTTACACTCAGTTTTCAAGAGTGAAGACCCTTGAGAGAGATGACCTCTACATTGCTGGCATTTATGTTTGATTATTGTAATATTCACATATAAACATGGCAGTTGTCCAGAATAAGTTCAAATGTCTGAGTAGCATTTATGACTGTGATGGAAACTGCTCACTGCATCACAGCTGTCTCTGAATGTGGTACATCATTTATACACCTGTGTTCTTGTCAGTGCATCATCCTCAAACAGTACTGAAAGTCTGTGATGAATATGAGCCCTTTGTTAAGCCATCTTTTACAAAAAATATGATTATACATCACTGCGCCACCTTCTTACACTAACTTTCATGGACACCATATTTTCTTCCAGTATGACTGAGCACATATGCAGAAGTACTCGATGTGCAGGAGGGACATATGAAATGACTGTAATCAAATGACAGTGATCCAGCTCATCATTACACGAATGGTCTTTGAAGTGCCTTTAAACCCCACTCACATAGACACTTGTGTTGCTGTTATGAGAAACAATGGAAACCCCAGGTAAAATTCAAACAATCTTTGTTTGTGCAGTTCAGCAGAATATTAGAAAGTGACCTACGGTTGCAAAACAGATGTTGGTAGTACTCTGTTACAAGCAAATCCTGTGGTGGTCATCCAGAAAGTTGCCAAATTCTTACTCAGTGGTCTCTGCTCTGAACCACTACTGGAGGTGAGACCATGTTTAATATATACATATAAAAGCCTTCACTTTTGCTGAAGCTGACTTTAAGAATGTGTACAATGTCTTTCTTGTTTGCTGCTACGTACATTCACTATCAACCCTTCCGGCCTCTTCAAATGCAGTCTAGGGCAAAGATCCCTTTTCTGAGGTGGGAACAATAGGGCAGATTCTGTTATCACTGATGACAGGGTGATCATAAGATAATGGTGTACAAAGTTTTGTCTTTGAAGATGAGCAGAAAAATTCACATAATGGATCGCATCAAAGACTGAATTCAGAACCCTCTCAATAACAGTCCAGAATCTTACCACTGAAACCATATGGCCCCTGTATAGAATGTTAAATCCACATCATGTTCACAGACCATACTAAAGGCATATAAGATCACAACTGTAAGTACTTGACACAAAATACAAACTCCATCACAGATGTCACATACTTGATCATTTGCAGCTACAGACACCACAGCCATATTGCCAACCATCTCCACCCAGCCAGATCCTCGTGCCAACTCCTCACTGTTGCCTGCACTCTCCCCTCGAACACCCTTACGAAACCACACACGCTGATCTCTAGTAACTGCCCATACTGCATTTGTCCCAACAGAAACATGAGCCAACTTCAAATCCTCTGGTGCACCCACTTCCAACCAGAACTCCCCTAAAAAAAATAATGGTCATCACTGTACTAAACAAAGAGGAAGTTAGGATAATTCAATATCTGATCAATAATGCCATTCAATTTCAAACATTTTCAATTTTCTTAAATGTAATTGGTGTGCTCACCTCCTAGGGCAAGCAATTATGATGTAACATTATATATCATCACATTTTTCTTTACAAATAATTGCCACATTTTTAAAACACTGGATCATATGAGGGTAATTCATATAAGAACAACCGTTTTACTACATTGCCTCATAGTTCAAGCAGGGCCTAATCCCATTATTTCTCAACAGTCACATTTCCTGGGCCATTCCATGTAAAATCAGAAACTTCTATAAAGTTCACAGATGAGCATTTAAGTTGTGGGACTCTCTTGTCAACGTGTGTGTAGTCTTGTCGCTACTCCGATGACAACCCACTTCTTCGGAACAGTTTGTTGGCCCTGAAAAGGACCGTGGCTGCTGAGATGATTGACCGGTGAGGTAGTGCGGCGCGCGCCGGTAAGGAGAAAGGCTAGTGAAAGGCGAGTGGCCTGGCCGATGTGCGGCCGTGGCTGGAGGTTGCTTGGTTGCCGTGCGGCAGCGTGAGTTGGAGGTTGGTTGATCGCAGTGCGGCAAATGGCGGAGTTTGCTGCTGGTGAAAGGCTAGTCGAGCGCGGTCGTAGGAGCCATGAGGCAGTGGCTACGCCAGATGCCCAGTGGGTCGGACCGTAACACGACCACCGGCGAGTCCAGGCGCGGTGCCCCAGTGAGTCGGGTGTGAGAGCGCTGGAGGGCCGAGGCAGTCGTGCCCGGCGCAGCCTGCCGACGTATCCAAAGACCGAGCGCTGGCGACGAAGCCTGCTGGTTGAAGTTGCTTGATGTGAAACTGCTGAACTGAATCGATGAACTGAACTGAACTGACTAACTCGGCTTTGGAGTCGCTCCTTTTTTATACGCTGGTAGGTGGGGCGGAGCCAAACTCGAAAGTGAGGAGGAAGAATTGATTGGCTAGCGCGCGTAATGGTGTAGACGCGGGCTAGCGCTGAGCGTAGTATAAATGCGATCGTTTGAAGCAATCTGATTGGTTAGCGCGCGTGATGGTGAAAAGTGATGTGAAGAGCGAGCGTTGCAGAAATGCGTGATAATGCGGGATGTTCCCACAAAGTTTTCAACCACATCTGCCATAAGTGTACGTAAATTTGTTAGATGTAAGTCTTTAAAATATTAGTATTCTAATCCTAAACAGTTCTGATAAATGGCATCCAAAATGAAAGTGTGTGTGTGTGTGCAATAACGGGTTGACTAAGTTTTTTTAATTCTCACTTAAGTTCCAAATGAGTCAGACAAGCCAAACCCTAGATATTAAGAGTGTTTAGGTTCCGGAATTAAAAAGCTGGCTCTCAATTATGTTAAGACATTCTGTTTCTGATATAAGCTATTGAGACAGGCATTATTTAGTATTGTACCAAAAAAAAAAGCAAATATACAGACACTTCAAGAATTAAGTAGCGCACACACTGAAATTCTTTACTTAGATATGTAATCAGAAATTTTATTATTTCTGTAGTCCTGGGCAAAGAACATGAACTTCCAGCAACTTCTTCTGGCTATTCCTTTCATTCAGTGATCTCTGTTTATCTTCTTGCTATACGACCTTAACCAGTTTCGACAGTGCAAAAAAGTGATCAGTTGCCATTGAAGTCTCATTGCTCAGTAAGAGTTCAACCCTCTACAGCCTGAAGTTCACATAATCAATATGTAAACATTCAGTCTCCACCTCACAGAAAACACATTACATTTCCATAACAAAGGCCAGTTAATACTGTTTATAGAACTAATCATAATTTGTTCTAAGATTCATATAAAACCAATAAGTACACCATGTGAGGCAAAATTTTTAATATTAAAACCACCATGCTTTCAAATGGCTGATATGTAAAACATTCACTATACAGCACAAAAACAATAAATTATACAGCATTAATAAATATAATAACATACACCTATAAGATTGCCATAATATATAAGAAATGTCATTATTTCAGTACTGCTTATTTAAAAAAATGGAAAAAATCTAGCACTTTCTCTACATAGCATTACATTACCTGTAGGGCTTTCTCTGGTAACGCCTGCTCTGACCAATGCACGTCCATTCCACAGAACAGCCCAAACGAGACCTGTTGGACCAACACTAATCTGGTTTACTTCACAACCTGATGGGACTGGTATTGCAGTCCATCTTAAACCTTCAGGTGCAGTGGTGCTAACTCCAGTTCGAAACATCACCTGGGACACAGAGAAGAGAAGCTCACTGTTTTCCAAATTTGAAACATAAGCAGGACAGACGTGATCTTCAGCTTTGGAACAAAACCAGACAAAAATAAATTATAGTGGAAAATAACAAAAGACAATTGTTTGGGCATGTGTTATAGAAGGGAAAATAAAATCATGAGAAGGGAAGCACTAGATTGGAATTATGAAGGGAGAAGAACAAGAGAAAGAACAACAAGAATATGGATATGAACAATTAAGGAGGGCACTCTAAAAGTAGGCAAAACATGAAACTAGAAAACTAGCTGAGAATAGGGATCAATGGTAGCACTTTGTGGACACCCTGTGCTTCTCATAGGACCATTAAGAATACATAATCTTCTTCAATATGAGATCTAACAATGACTTAACTAGATTCAACAAAAAAAAAAGAAACTACGAGGGTAAGTCAATAAGTAAGTTACAAATGGATATAGAACTTAAACAAATAAGAGTACTGATTTGAAAAATGCTTTTATTTCTCAGCATAATCTCCCCGTACATTGAGGTGTTTGTCCCATCGTTTCACAAGCCCCTGAAAACCAGCAGGATAAAATTCTTTGGGCTGCTGTCAGAACCAGGTGGTGACTTCCCTTTCTACAGCTTCATCGTCGGGAAAATGTTCAGCTGAAAGATGAGGTTTAAGAGGGCCAAACAAATGGAAATTGCTTGGGGCAAGCTTGGGGCTATACGGAGGATGCTCGAGGACTTCCCACATGAAATTTCAGTGTCTCATTTGTCTTGTTGGCAGTACGGGGATGCACGTTGTCATGCAAGAACAACACGTCTTTGGTGAGGAGTCCTGTTCGCTTCTGTTGAATGGCCTTATGAAGTTTCCTGAGGATGTTCCTTGTAAAGGGAAGTAACCACCTAGAATTTTATGCTGCTGATTTTCAGGGGCTTGTGAAACGTTGGGACAAGTGCCTCAGTTTACAGGGAGCTTATGTTGAGAAATAAAAGCACTTTTCAAATCAGTACTCTTATGAGTATTTAAGTTCTATATCCATCTGTAACTTACTTATTGACTTACCTACATATATATACTCTGATCTTTTGTGAATGTGATCACTTCCAAACTACTCACCTTCTGGCTTTATACATGCATCCAAATATCTTTTCTATACATGGAAATAATGCTGGCAATCATATTCTGAAAGCACATTTATTTCTGGCTTCACATAATTCTGAATGCCTTCAAATGGCTGCAAATGTCACACTTTCCAGAAGAATTTTGGCCTTGGGAACAAGAAATTCACACAGGGGTCCAAACACATGAGCAAAGAGAATATCTCAACAGTGGTGTTTCTTGGCAAAATTTGTTTTACTGAAAGTGGGATGTGGGGAGGCACATTATCATGATGCAAAAGCTGCTTGTCCAGCCAAAAATTTGGGTACTTCTTGATCAATATGTCACTACAAATATTGAAAAACTTGAATGTACAATGCTTGGTTGAACAAATCCGCAACAGTTAATTCCTCTGATATTAAAAATGAAGATAAGTATGGCACTGGTCTTTGGTTTTGATATTCACACATTTTGATCTTGCAGACTCTGGACTTTTCCACTGTAGACTTTAGCTTTTTGTTTGTGTGACACTGAGGATGCAAGGCTCATCACCGCCCATCTTTTTCAAAGCTTACGCTATTTCTGTCACTCTTGCTGAAAAATGAGTGAAACTTTATTTTCTCATATTTTGCTAAATGCTGAGACTTTCTCATGTCTTGGAACAGATCTTTCTCTTCTTCAGATGTCTGATGATTGTCAATCTCTCTTTCTCTAGCCATATCAAGTTCTTCCATCTTCCAACGGTCAACTGTATACTGTTTCTCACCACTTCAATTAGTTCTTTCACATTTGCATCAATTCTTGAGTTATTCTAAACAAAAAGATTATGGATTTTCACTGCCTGTAGAATCTTCCCTTCTGTTTAAAAAAAAACGCCCCCCCCCACACACACTTCAACATTCTGTAAACATCAGTGACCCATCACCTCTACTTATCAAATTATGAAAGTCAGTTACTATCCACACTAATGTGAAATGGTTACTCACTCGACCATGGGCAGTTATTGCCCATACTAGAAGATTGCTAGGATTACCACCTGGTATACTCTGGCCACCCACAGCTACTCCAATGAATGGTTCCTGTATGTGTAAATAAGCATTATTACATTTGCAACAGGCATTCACTACAGCAGAATCAATGTACAGGAAATACAGTAAAGTTCCAGCTATCCAGCATCCACGCACTTGTAATTTTAATGCAACTTGTATAAGCTTCCAAGAAAGTTTACCATTTTTATAAGGCTACTTCAAAAATAATGCTGCAATGTGCATATGTTCAACCACCATATGATAATTCTCCCAGCTGCCATTAGGAGCACTGCCTGTCATCTTCCATCATATAGGTGCCATTACAGTCATGGGGATCTGCGTTTCTTTACAGATTAGTTTAAGTGCATACAGCACACACAAAATCAATCACCCATCAAACTGCTATGTCACCTCAGCAAAAATACATTGTTTTGACTTTGAAACAGAACACAGAAATATCAAAGACCAAGAATGGGTGGAAATTGCATGAAAATTGGATTTCTGTACGTTTTTCTCATGCATCTGACATTCACACATCCCATTTCCCATACATGATGGATATTATGACAGGGAGTTTACTAAATTACCAAAGTTCCCCTTTACTATACACAGTTATAAACATGGAGTTTTGAGCAGGAATCAAAAGCCACTTTCCTACTTAACAGATTTATTATTTTTAATATTATTCTAGTTTTATTTCTGTGAAGAATGTACAGGGTGGAGCAGAGGAAATGCATGCTTTTCACATAAGAATAACTTTGTTGATTTTCAAGATAAAACCTTTTTAATTATACAAAAAAGAAGGTATTTTAATTCAGTTTTAACTGACATTACACAAGGAAAATAATGTCAGTCAGATGACGTCCTTCTTACCGGACACACATTTGGAGCCTCTCCTCAAAATTCTGCATCGCATTCTCCAACATGTCTTCCGGCACAGCTGCATTTTCTTGATGAATGGAGAGTTTCAGTTCTTGTATCGTTTGTGGTCTCTTCAGGTACACTCTTGCCTTGAGGTATCCCCACAAACAAGATATAATAATAAATTCCATTATCCTACATGTAAGTTGACTGTATTTCAGAAAGGAGTGTATTACCATGGTATTAAGATTTTTAATTGGCTTCCTCCTAATATAAGGAACCTGGCTCAAGATGCTAAACATTTTAAAATTGTTTTAAGAAGATTTTTGTTGATGAACTCATTTTATTCTTTGGAAGAATACTTTGATTGTAAATTTGACTCCAATAATCAACTGTGATTATGGTACTGAATGTCTTATATTGTTATTTATATTATTATTTCTATGTAGTGTTATTTGTATTATCAATGACTAATTCCTTATCCTATATGCAGTGGATTTATGGAATGTAAATAAATGATGATGATGATGACAGAAGCACAAACGGATAGACCAGGTGAGCGCGGGGGTCAAGAAACAGAATCGAAAGGGAGATCACATGTTGGGGAAACATGCGTTGAACAACTTCAATTGATGCTCTCGCCATGTGAGTTGTAGCACCATCCTGTTATAACCGCATTTGTCTCATGTTTACCCGACACCTTAGGAGTTCTGGATGCAGCAAGTTGTTTGACACATGTTCCGCCAACATGTAAGCTTCGGTTTCAATGATGTTTCTTGGCCCCCGTGCTCCCCTGGTCTATCCGTCTGTGCTTCTTTTGTGGGGATACCTGAAGGCAAGAGTGTACCCGAGCAGACCACAAATGATCCAAGAGCTAAAGCTCTCCATTCATCAAGAAATCGCAGCTGTGCCAGAAGACATGTTGGAGAATGTGATGCAGAACTTTGAGGAGAGGCTCCAAATGTGTGTCCAGTAAGGATGTTATCTGACTGACATTATTTTCCATACGCAATGTAAGTTAAAATGCATTAAAACACCTTCTATTTTATGTAATTAAAAAGGTTTTATCTTGAAAATCACCATATTCATAACTGCTGACATACAAATATTATTTTATACATTATGTGTAAGTATGCTTATGGTCTAATAATATGTCATCCATAATGTGTAGGTACATTTTTGATCCACCTCAACATAAAATTTTCACGCCTAGTTTAAATAATTCATTAGCCACTGCTATCAAACTTACAGCTAAAGAAAACTGATGTGTTGTCACCATGTACTATTTTACATTCTACAAAAAAAAATTACTTCAAGAAAGTTTGCATATTTTTCTAAGACCTATTACCACTCATCAATTAAGGGCCTTATATTATGTGGTAATAGTGATGACACCCTCACAAGTCTGTGCATTCACCATGTTGTTACTACTGCATGTAGGAAATTAGAAAGCACAATACTGAGGTAACCTAAAATGGAATACATGCTTATGACATACTGTGTGAAAATCAGTCATCTGGCTCTGAAGTTGAAAGGGGGACACAAAGACAACATAGTAATCACTTATGTTCTTAATAAGACATATGCTACATGTAATCACTGCAACATATTAACTGTAAGCCTCGAAGATCCATTCCATAATGAAGTGAGTAGTGTTAAGATAATGTTATGAGGATGAGGAAGAGGGTAGTGGTAGCATTCCCAGTAGCAGTTGCAGTACCACAGCAGCAGCATCATGGTCATTCCTGTAGTTTCATGCAAGGGCTCGGTAGCCAAAGGATTAATCTTGGCACTAGATAGAGGTGAGCGATCTGGCCCACATCTGTTTACTTGCCACCTCAGGAAACAGTGCCCCTTAGATACAAGATGGGTGGATTTACTCTGTGGGTTATTTCATTTGATGACACTGGAAGTATCTACATTACATAGCACTGGATGACAGGATGACATATGAATGATGAATTGAGAAGGATATGGAAGGAAACAGTAATGACCTGACGTAATACCCCAGCTTTTGCTTGGAGGAACTGAGAAAAACCATGACAACCTTGTTCAGGATAGCCATCTCAGCCCTTGAAGTAAAGGAATGTCTTTATCGGATACCTGCATGTGAGATCCGAGGTTCTCATGGCAATAAAAATTAATATTAGAGCCACAGAGTTTGCTAGATACTTGTATGTACCAGTACTTCAGAGGAGCCTTCTGTCTCCATCTTCATGATAAAGGATGGAAGCAGCAGGTTCATCCAAAACATTGGCACCTACAGTGAAACTGCAATTAGGTCATACTGTACATACCAACCTACACAGCCTCACATCACACAAATCACAATATTATGTAAGTCACATTGTAAATCTGAAATCAACATTCATTAGCAGATTAAACCACCAGGTAGTGGGTATAATTACACTAAAGAATCAATATAAATCCATTTTTATGCATTATTATTTGAACATCTGTACCTGAGTAGGGTCTTTATGCAGTGGTGCTATGGCACACCATGAGTTCATAGCACTATAGCGTCGGTACCGAATCCATTTCCTTCGCCTCACACACGATTTCCACTGCTTCTTTTGATGAAATGTAGCAGGAAAATCCACCGCATATGTCCAACCCTATAAAAATAATTTATAATAAGACAAGGCTTAGTAAGATACTTTTTTACAAAGACAAAACAACTCCGTCCAGTGTGACTATTGAAACTTTTACTACTTGAAAACTTAGCACCCTTACATGTTTTGGTCCCTATATACCAGCCCTGTCCAATGCGGCACCCATGGTATATTTTTCTGGTGCCCTCCATAACCACATATAATTGAGCCGATTTTTAATATTAATTCAAATTGTAAGACAAGAGACATTTTTGAACGTCTCAGTACTGTTAAAATTTTATTATTATTATTATTATCAGTAGTAGTAGTAGTAGTAGTAGTAGTAGTAGTAGTAGTAGTAGTAGTAGTAGTAGTAGTAGTAGTAGTAGTACTAGTAGTAGTAGTGTGTGGTGGCGCCCGCACCTCCACAGGCATCAGTGAATTGTGCCCGAGTACATAAGAACATTGGGCAGCACTGCTATAGACCATCATCAGATGGACATCGATACTTTTTTGGAAACTCCTATCGCAATGGGTGTTTTGAGTGTTAAAATACATATACATACAATGTTTGTAATGCACAACATATACAAAATCCAACTTTTTCACAACTACAGTATATTAAAGTTTTTAAAATTTTCTTATTTAAGTTAACAAATCAATTTCACTTTTTTACACTTTGAGCCCTGCACAATGAAAGTGATACATGGACATGGAATCCAATTTATCCCTAGACTGGGTGGCTAGAAATTGTTTTGCCCACCCATATTTAATGCTGCTCACTGAACTGTCATTTAGTCACCTGATGCATGCTGGCTCATCTCAAAGCACTGCTTATTTACCACGAATAGTTGTCTTTGAGGTACATGCAAATACAGTTCACAGTGTTCAAAAATGAAACCTAGTGTCCAACAGAAATCACTCATATACTAGTACAATACTTCTGTACAGCATTTTTCACACAGGAAATACCACAGAATATTCTGCAGAAAGTATCCTCAGAGTACAGTGCCATGTAAAGCAAACTCCACAATTTTGTTAACAAAATTACATTCTACAAAACATGTGCTATACAAAAAGAAAGATGTGTATTGCCTGATGAAAAATATCATAAAATCATTACTTGATTAGAAGCAAGCCTGAATAAGTCATTAAGTCTTTTCCTTCTTCAGTATGGGTTGACATAACGCACAGTTCGTATTGGTACAAAGTTGTTAAAGTTATGGCCTTAGAAAACTAGAGCTGTACATAACCTTATGCCTCCATATTGCAAAGCAAGAATTCAATACTGTAGGCTGTTATCTGTATTCAACAGATTTCTTGACCAAGAACTTATGATTTATTCTGATGAGGCATGGTGCACTTTTAAGGGGCCAAAATAACAGACAATGGAGCAAGGAAAATCCTCATGCTGTTCATGAAATGCCATTGCATAAATAGGCCCACATTTTTTTTTTCATGAAATAAATTCTGAATATTATATGAGATTGATTCTGCTACTTTTTTTGATCAACTAATTGATGAAGACAAATTGTACAGGCATATTATGGAAAACAGTAAAATATCACACACTGTGAACAATTCTGGGGATGCTGCACACAAATTCTTTGTCAAATGAGTCATAAGTTGAGGACTGTGAACTTTTACTCCTTGCTCAAATGACAGCTCCTAACAGACTGAGAGATGGACAAGACAAGATACGGCCCAACAAGATCAATGGGAATTGCAGTCCCCAAGAAATGCAGCTACTAAAGGGCAGGTGGCAAGAAGAGAAGCACAAGAGCCTTTTTATAGTGACAGAAGGAATAGTAACAAGGAGGGCTTCCTGAGGCTATGGACAGAGAACGTCATGTCAAGACTTGTCCTCCATAAGAGTCTTCTTCCATTCCTTCAGGCTGTGAATGAAAGATTTTCACAATATTGTAATGTGTAATACATCTGCTTTGCAATGATCACAAGAAGAAACATGCATTTCTTGGTGACATGTGAACAAAATCAAAGCTGTTGCTAAGCAACCATCCATAACAATAGTAGAGGGTTTGTTGGAGGTGGTGTTTTCCGTTGTGTCTGCCCTATGGTAATACAGCGAGGACCCCAGGCCAGCAGTGCAGTTCTATTAAGTGAAATGTGGTAGTTGGTTGGTGAGTGAGTTCAGGTGGGGAGTGTAAACCAGTGGGTAATGGTGTGACCACTGAAGAATCTCCATTATTGAGAGCTGTTACCAAGCAATGACTAGTGACAGCAGACTGAGAAGACTTAGCATGGAGTTGTTCTGTAGTGTGGAAATCAACAGTAGTGTTACAGTTACAACCTGTAGGTGGTCAACAAATCTATTCACCAATCCAGATCTTGTCTGTAGTCACACATACATGTGACAATATGCTCCACTCAAGCTGTTGGAAGAAGGCTCAGTCTTCATTTCTTCTTTGATAGTCTGGTTCATGAATCTGATTTTACAGCCAGGATATCAGTGTTCTGTAGCAGGATGCAATGTCCCAGCTTTATCCTGCATTCTTGTACGTCTAATTTTTCTGCATCATGAAACAGACACCCCAACTGACACTAGGATCAAGGGATTGTCTGGTCTGTCCAAAGGCAAAAACACCACATTTGCAAGGAATGCTGTACATGTCTACTGTCCTTAAGGCTAGGTCATCCTTCCTTGGCTGAAGGAAACAGGACACTTCCTCAGCAAGAAGATAACAGTCCTGATGTGTTTGGACAACAGCCAACTAATGCAGTTGAAGGTAGTAATGACCAAGGGTAAAAAAGCTACTGAAGTTGGACCTTCTCTACGTGATGCGACCACCTGAGATGGACTGATAGCCAAAGAATATACATTCTTTTATTGTTCCTTGCATCCTGTTGTGTACTAGACGAATGTTAAAGTTAATCTACCGACCACACAACACGTTTTTTATTTACTGCCACACTACATGTTTCGACCTCAGGAGGTCATCATCAGGTGTACGAACACAATTTCACAATCACACGCAATCACTTCCTTTCTCCACTAATTTCCATCCTGTATCCTGTTCAGATTCACGCTCAAATAATATGTATAAGTTCTTCTTATACCATATAAGTTAAAAATATATAAGTTAAAAAGCTCTTCTTATAAAATACAAGTTAAAAATACCAATGTCAAAAATTAAGATTTAAAATTCAAAATTCAGTTCCCTGTAGCCAGTTACGTTATTATCACTTGTTTAGAAAGTTCGTGAAAAATAAACTTCACTCGTCACATTGACTGCCCTTTCACTTTTTGAAGGTCTTGTCGTTCTTCGGCGTCCTCTGATGTGGGATCTGTTACGTTCCTTGTCGTGATGGCTACATTCTGCTGTCTGTTCTGTTTGTAAGTTCTGCATAAATTTAAAAGTTAATCTGTAGACTATCCTGGTAGCAGATAGCTTTGGCTCTATGTGCTATGGTGGAAAGCACAGCCAGATCGTTTGCCAGATGACAGTCTAACCTAGGATTCAAACAGAGGATAGTGCAAATAGGCTTGGCTGAACACCTATGACTCCGTATGAATGACTGCCTCACAGCCTCAACGTTCTGTGGTGATCACACTGCAAGCACACTGCCTGATGGTTTATTATTCAATGTGGAAGTTCTTGTTCTGAAGTTTTCTGTCCACGTACAGTGGCAAGAAACATTTCTGTGATGAGCAATACTGAAATGCTTATGAAATACTGCATGTGATTTAACAACAGTCATAATTTAAGAAAAAAAACGTTTCAACAACAAATGCACGATGCTGCATGCTCCACTGCTCCATGGTTGCTGTAAAGGCATTAGTTAAGCTAGCAAATGACATGCTTCCTGCCATCTCATACTCTGGTGTTGCTAACATAACACATTTTAAAAATTTTCATTTCATGCATCCTGTTGTGTTACAATATACAACCTCTTTATTAACTGTCACAACACAACAAATATCAAGGTCAGTGCCACGCTACGGCTCTGCTACATGTTTCGGCTATCAGTCGTTGGTTTTGTAACTTTGTTGCGTTCCCACAGACAAATTGGAATATTCTATATTTTTTCTTTTTGTATATAAGATTGTATAGGAGGCTTGTGATGTAGATGTAGTAAATTAATGTTAATTGTTTAGTCGGTGCCTCATCTTATGACTGATTCGATGATATAAAACATCAATTTAAAATTGTATTCTTCTTTTATACTATAACTTCTTTTTTATATAATCTGATTTACTGTATTTTTTACAGCAAGTGTTTTATATGATTAATAGTATTGTATCCAGTTTAATAGTACTGCAGTTCACTGGTGTATATATGTGAACCATGTATTTGCCTGATGATGGCTATTGATAGCCGAAACATGCAGCAGAGCCGTAGCTGGGCACTGACCTTGATATTTGTTGTGTTGTGACAGTTAATAAAGAGGTTGCATTTTAAAAATCATCAGGTTTCAAAGGCAAAAATAATATCGTCTAATGTGACTATTTAAGTTTTATCACTTGAGGACTTATCACCCCTACATGTTTCGATCCCTACGGATCATCCTCAGAGGGCATCAATATTTTTGGAAACCACTATTACAATAGTTGTTAATTATATAGATACACATATGATGTCTGAAATGCACAATATATGCAATGTTCAACCTTTCACATACACAGTAGCCTTCTTGGTGTTAAAACTTTTTAAAGATTTTTTTTTAAAACTTTCTAGATCAAGCTTAATTCTCCTATTGTTATTCGTGGAGGTGGCTGGTCCTGTGTCGCCTGTTTATCTTGAGAAAGGAGATTCTTAGTATTTCCGTGTTTCTTTGTGGCCTGCTGTGTTGTTGACGCGAACCTGTATGGTTTAAATATTTTAAGCTTGACCTAGAAAGTTTAAAAAAAAAAAAAAACTTTAAAAAGTTTTAACACCAAGAAAGCTACTGTGTATGTGAAAGGTTGAACATTGCATATATTGTGCATTTCAGACATCATATGTGTATCTATATAATTAACAACTATTGTAATAGTGGTTTCCAAAAATATTGATGCCCTCTGAGGATGCTCCATAGGGATTGAAACATGTAAGGGTGATAAATCCTCAAGTGATAAATCTTAAATAGTCACATTAGACGGTATTATTTTTGCCTTTGTAATTGTTAGTGTGACAGACCAGAATGAAACAAATCAAATTCATCAGGTTCCTTTGCCATGGCCTGTATAATCTATGTCCTAAGGGGGCGTCACATCTTCTGTATGTATCAAAATTCAGGAAAGGGGGAGGTGGCCATCCATATCCATCTTCATGATGAATTGGATGGTTCAGCCACTTCTGCTTCCTGGAATGCAGACCCCACCTCCCTCAAAAAAGAAACAAAATACAGCAAACTCCATTAAATGGTTGGCGAGATGGAACATACAGGCATATAATTACGATCACCATATTACACATTCCATCAAAAGGACACAAAAATAACACAACTGGTGAGTACTGGACTCAAGTCTTACCTAAAAATATGACACTACAAATTACAATTAAGAGCAACCCAACATTAACAGCTGTATCATCTGTAGAAATATATCATCTTTCTCATTCTGCATCACACACAGAGTGAACTTACATCGTGATCTAATGCCAATCCATCAAGTGTTGTTTCCAGATGCCAATCAACTTCCCATTGCCATGCCATAGACGGTAATCGGATCTTATCTAGACTGCGATCACGAGTACCATCTTGACTAGAATAATGAAATCTGTCAGTTGGGAGAAGGCGTCCACTAAATCCTTCCAAGGGAAGCCAGCGCTACAAAAATGTTTAAATACAATTGGTCAGTGTCACCATATGATACAATAAAAATTTACACATATAATCTGTGTGGTATAATTACTTCAAGAAAGCCTACGATTCAGTTAGGAGGGAAGTATTGTACAATATTCTAATACAGTTTGGGATACCCATGAAACTAGTTAGGTTGATTAAAATGTGTTTAAACGAAACGTATAGTAAAGTCCATGTAGGTAAACATTTGTCTGATAAATTTCCTATCCAGAACGGTTTAAAACAAGGATGCTTTATCACCACTCATTTTCAACTTTGCCTTAGAATATGCAATTAGGAACGTCCAGGGAAACCAGGTGGGACTGAAATTAAGCGGGACACATCAGCTGTTCGTCTACGCTGACGATGTGAATCTACTGGGTGATAATGTAGATACCATAAAGAAAAACATACAAACTGTAATTGACGCAATTAAAGAGGTTGGTCTAGAAGTAAACATAGAGAAAATTAAGTATATGGTACTGTCTCATCACCAAAATGCAGGGCAAAATCATAACATAAAGATAGCAAACAGATGTTTTGAAAATGTGGCACAGTTCAGATATTTGGGAACAACAATAACAGATCGAAACCTGATTCAGGAAGAAATTAAGAGGTGATTGAACTCGGGTAATGCTTGCTACCATTCAGTCCAGAACCTTTTGTCTTCTCGTCTTTTGTCCAAAAACATAAAAATTAGAATATACAAAACTATAATTTTGCCTGTGGTTCTGTATGGGTGTGAAACTTGGTCTCTGACATTAAGGGAGGAACATAGACTGAGGGTGTTTGAGAACAGGGTGTTGAAGAGAATATTTGCACTGAAGAGAGATGAAGTGACAGGAGGTTGGAGAAAACTGCATAATGAGGAGCTTCATAACTTGTACTCTTCTCCAAGTATAATTAGAATGATCAAGTCAAGGAGGATGAGGTGGGCAGATCATGTAGCACGAATGGGGGAGACGAGGAATGCGTATAGAATATTGGTAGGAAATCCAGAAGGAAAGAGACCACAGGGAAGACCAAGGCATAGGTGGGTGGACAATATTAGAAGGGATCTTAGAGAGATAGGATGGGATGGTATGGATTGGATAGATCTGGCTCAGGATAGGGACCAGTGGAGGGCTCTTGTGAACAGGGTGATTAACCTTTGGGTTCCATAAAATGCTGGGAAATTCATGAGTAGCTGCAGAATTGGCAGCTCCTCCAGAAGGGCTCAGTTCCATGAGTAAGTAAGTAATAATTAATGTAGATATACTAAACCACATTTCACAAAACATAAATGATTTTGACATAAATAATAAGGTATGATCAAATTTTGTATATTAAAGTATGCTACAAGATTGCTGGTTTTAAATAACAGACATGGTTCCTGATAAGAGATTTGAAGGTCTCATGGCAGTGAATGTTTAGTCTGTGATCTCCTGAGATGTGATGCCATGTAATTTGGAAGGTGGTTACCACAGTTTCAGAGGAAACAATTGTGAGGCAAATATATTTGTCATAATTAGAAACAAAAAATTTTCCTAATGAATCTGGAATATATTCCATTATTTCATCCTGCCTGTGCTTCCAAATTATCAAAAATTATATACTGTATTTTGACCCAATGAACTACTATCATAAAATGATTCAAACAAGTACCTGAAGTGATTTGGAAATTCTATACAAGATCATACAACAGGGCCGAGTACAATAGACACACTGAGACTCTAAGGAAGAGATGTCATTGTATATATCACTGTTTATATTCTTAGAGACCTTACCTCATTTTCGTACGCCTCTTCCTTGATGCGGATGGGAATATCAAGACCGTGGACATGAACATATACCTGTCTGTCCCCACCAACTGCCCACATAAAGTGAGGAACCGCAGACAAATGTTTGAATTCCAAACCGAGATACACAAATTCTCTCCACTTTGTTCCAATAGTTGAGAGCCCAAACACACGCCCCTCATTGTTAATCGCAAACAGAAGGGAACTTGGCATTTTTCATATCGAAGACAATGCGTGCAAATAAGTAGGTGTTTCACAACCGTTCAGTCTTCAGAAAATACGAGTGTTCATAATTTGTATATCAAGAATTATGATACCTGACACACTGCAATTCACCAGTAATTCTTTTCTATAAAACGACAGGAACTCATTAAATAACAGTATATTTTATTTAAAGTCACATATTTCCTTAAATATGAATTACACGAGTCATCAGAAACGTCAACTTATTCAGTTCCATGGACGGCCGTCGGTGCCGGTCGGGTCGTTAGTTGATAGCTAGTAGTTATTTCGAAGTGGTGTATTGGGTCTGGAACGAGGTCCTTTAAGTTGATATTAGTGAAGTGATATTGAACGCCGCTCCCCAAGAAAAAAGAACACAACGGAGTAAGAACATCTGCGGCACAAGAGATCTGGTTGTAAAATTATTGCTATTCCCGTGAACCATGGTTTCCAAAGGGGAAAGGGGACAGGAATCATATGATGGTATAATAGCATGCGGTCTTAACGATCGTGCTTTCGACGCTGGGTGCCATTGCATATTTAGTTATATAAGATCTACGCATAGATGGTAGTAGTTATGCTAGTTGGCTCTGGTCCACCCTGGTGTTTGGGTACGCTAAATCCGCTAATTAGCAGTAATAAATGGCGGTAAATGGCAAGTGTTGTCGAGAACGTTGAGTGTGGTGAGTTTAACCAAAAATTTGAACGAATTTGCAGGTATGGTAACTGCGGGTATGTTATCCCAGTACACATAATTTAATTATAATCTTTGTATTAATTACAGACAACAAAAATAAGTCTGTTACAGGTAATTATGGTGGGAGTTCAGTGTTGCATAGCAATTGTTAAAATTTCAAAATAGCAGTTTAAGTTTCATTTTTTCATTTCAGTCTTTATTTTTCCATATACATACAGGTTAACAAACCAGGATGTGGAAATAGTCCTTTTGAATACAGATACATCAACATGCATATACAAAATTGCACGAGTCAATCAAACAAAGACTCTTACATCAGTCTATAAATATAAATAATATTACAGGGCAAAAGAATTTAATAAGATTTCATTTAATAGACATACTTAAAAAATAACCTAATATAAAACTTGTATTTACACCATTTCATATAAAATACCCATATTAACTAAAACAAATACAGTCAAAAATTACACACCTATGACTTTTAAGTTTCACTCATTGTTCTTCTCATATAAGACGATCGCCAATTTTGGGCGACTTTTTAAGCCCAAAGTGTAGTCTCGCCAGTATGTGACATATATTCACTGTCTGCCCAGTTGACGAGCTCTGTGTACCCTGGGACATTATGATAGGCTGCATATGACGCGCAACTCCCATCAAATATGGTCAAATAGCACTGCGCGCTTTCAGACTTACGTCATAATTATGAGGCCCGTATTCTGTACACACAGCTATATATGTTTTCTGTTGCCCTATTAAATCTTTGAATATCTCCCATGGAATGAGCTAATGCCATGTGTACCTGTCCATTGTGTTGTCCAAGCCACTGCTACTGAATTTAACAGTTCGTCGCTTTATGTCCTGTACCGATATTCCACCAGTAAGCTAGACACTGAAACGAATGTATGTGTAGGTAAAAAGTAAGGATAGGATTCGAGCATGAATTTCAACATGTCATGGTTCCAAATAAAAAAAAATATGTATATTCAAACAACTGTAAATAAATTTGGACAGACAGGGACTTTAGTGGACAAAGAAGAACATTCTTTTTGAAAATTTAGTAGATACCTTACCTTGCACAGAAGACTAATTTAAAGCTTCAAGTTTTCTCAATTTCTGATAAGAAACCTCAGTATGTGAACATTTTACAGATGTACATGAAATGTATGTGTAATAACAGTCTATTTCTTGTATCTCCTGTGGTCTGGCTGTTTTTTTTTTGTGTGTGTGATTTCCTATGGGCTAGTTGGCTGCACTGTAGGACTGATAATTTGTGCTAAGATTTGGAATAAGGAGTATATACTTCCACTGGGCCGCGCCATAGCTGAGGCGGTTAGTTGCTGGCTTCCCATTGCGATGACCCGGGTTCGATCCTGGGTCTGGTCAAGTGGGATTTGTGGTGGACAAAGTGGTGCTGGGGCAGGTTTTCTCTGAGTACTTCAGTTTCCCCTGCCAATCTTTATTCCACCAGTTGCTCCACAATCACCCTCACCTATCATCTGGGGCTGGTAGAATAGGCCAGAAGTGGTCATAGTACAAGGGACTTAGTCCCACCCCACTAGCAATAAAAAAAGTGTTCTTCCATCGGAGCAGTCAATGACATGCAGCAGGCTTTCAGTCTCCCTGTATATTTTGGGTTGATTCTGAAAAGGTTAAATCATAATCTCTCAGAAATTAGTGAAAACTTTGTATTTGTGTACTTCATTTGGTACAGTATTAGAATCAGTCATTCTCTTTTTCTGCATATTTCTGTATAGGGTATGATTAAGTAGAACATAGCAAGATTAATTAAATTTATTAAAAAATTTAGGTCTGCTGTTAAAAGATTTATATTTTTAAATTCGTTTTATTCACCAGACGAATGTTACAACTGTGACAACAAAGTTTCTGATTTTGTTACGAGTGGTAGTTGATAGCGCTTTATTGTTATAAATGACGGTTTTTGTTCATGTTGTGTATTGTTAATATTTTTATATGGCTAACCGTTATGACATTACACAATTGTGATGCAGTATGAGATCATTTTTAGTCATGTTGACTATTTCTATATCCATTGGTGTTTAACCATGTAAGGATTTATGGAATGCTGAGAATAAATGAATGAATGAAAAAATATGTCATTTTAGAAATGGGCGAATGATGTACATTGTTCTTGCAAGTGTTGAGTTATATGTAACTGCACCATGCAGGTACCTCAGCAGTGTTTTTCATTTTACATTCTTAATTACAATGTACTACATGTAGACGAACTGTACGAGTATTACTGTTAACAAAAGATGAAACGCAATTGACCCCAGGACCAGCAGATGCCAAGGACGACATCTGGTCTTTCTGAGGGACAAGCAAGCTGCAGGTCACTTGAAACCCCCAGAATGGAGCAGGAAGTATCCCGCTGTGTTTTCTGGGAATTTCAATGCTTAACTTCGACGGTGCGAGTCTTTGAAAATTTGAGACTTGACAGATACGAGTCGCAATAATTTTCGGAGGGGTGTACTGAGCGATCGTTAGCGTACCTCCATTTATTTGAGAGCTGTCAGAAGGACCATCTTGTACTTAGGCCCAAATTAACATGGATCTTGTTAGGGATTGGCAGAATGTCAGTGAGAGTAACACCCAAATTTTAGGTTCAGCCAATCAGCAAAATTTCAGAGGAGAGGAAACCAGGCGTTCTTGCTTTCCGTCAGGACTTCTGCCTCTCCAGAGCAGTCAGTCATCAGATGGGAGTAACAGGAGTCAGTCATCAAAAGGGAGTAACTGGAGTCAGTCGCCTTAGTGGGTAACAGGAGTAACCTCCCAGACATTAAATCGGTGTTGGCCGAGTCCGGTACACAAATTCAAAGTGCTACAACCTTGTAATGTGTAATTCTAGTTCACATCTACAATAAAGAGCAACAGTGTTGGTGAAGTGTGAGTTTTATGTGTTCCCTATCTCCTTGTGTGAGCAAGGCCCAGAAGTTGCCCTGAGACAGAATCTCATCCTACCATCTGAGCAGTTGGAACCCCAAACGCCCGCCTATCCATATCCCCACGTTTGTTTTCCCCATTCCAAATTCATAGATTTCATGCAAGTCCACTGGCGCCCATACAAATTCAAATTCAGAGTAATCCCACACCCTACCCTGAACCAGACAGCAACAAGGAAGCAGTGGATGAAAGTGGAGACCAACGTAAGGGCACTAAGAGGACACTTATAAGTGGCGAGTTATAAGTGCTGACCTACTTGTGGGCCTCGAAGTATCACTGAACGGTTAAATATAAGTGACGCCAAACGTGTAGGCGAACATGAAGACGGTTACACAAATGCAAGACCTCATTGATCACTATAGAATTCTGTTTTATTAATCTATATTTTTGCTTAATACAGCAATGTTTCCATTTCAGACAATTATGCTGAATAAGAGAATTCTTAAGATGTGTCAACACCCATTTCACATATCATCTGTGATAAAGTTTTGTAACTTGTTACCAGCTTCCCAGCAGATTCGCCAAAAACGAACTCATGAGATAAATAGTGGCCAGTTGAAACTTTTAATGGAAGTCTTTGGTAAGTTATGAAAGGTGACAAATTCTAGAGCTTATGTCTTTACTTTATGATAGCTGGGAAACATTAAAAGCAATCAGAATTTGAGAGTTGTCAACTTGACAAAGAGTATGGTAAGAGGAACTGCAAATAATAAATTTAATGCCATACTTGAATTGTGATTGACCCTTTATCATGAGATATGGGCAGCTGTAGTTTTTAGGTTACAAGTAGAATGTAAGTTCTTGTTATTGCATTGTGGCCCATTTTAAGTAGATTGGTGATTTCTGCCATGAAGATGGAGGTAGGTATCTCTGGAATGTTTATATTCACCTAGCAGCCTGCATGTTATAATCAGGAGTGTCTGGAACTATTTTTCACCAATAAGTGATAAATGCTTTCTTTTCTTTATTATTAATAGGTTGTTCATATCAACAGGCTTCCAGTATTTCATTCAGACACACGGCGATAAGAACCCTGGATCAGAATCACATACGAAAAGTAGCAGATGTATTGCATGTAAGTCAAATTAAATTAACAAATTTGAACCTGAGCATTTTTTATGTTTCAACCTCCCAGTTTATATTTGATGTTTTGCTATTTATGTCAGAATCATAGCAGAATGGCTTCTCATATGTAGGTTGATACAAAATGCTATGGCCAGACTTTAAAAGAGGTTGTTGAGTAGAAAATTTGAAGCAGAATGTTTTAACAAACAGATGTTTGATTCACCACCATTTTAGACTTTTAGTTAGTTATTGGAGAGGGTGGGTTTCCCCATGCACTTAGACCAGTATTGGTCCATTGTGCTTCCCTCTATGATATTCTACCAATCTCTATACCCTACCGATATTGGTGCGTACCATTAGTCCCAACCGAGCCAGTGAGTTCGGCCTCTACTGGCTTAGTGGTATCTATAATGCTTCCCCCATCTGTCAGAGGCGTTAGAGACTACTGTTGGGCGGGAAATGTCCTTGAATTTGGCTCAATGACCTTCTTTGCAGATATGAGGTTCTTTTACGTGCCATAAAGCTATGACACGGGACCCACGGCTTAAAGTCCCTCCCGGAGGACTTGTTCCCTGAATTTTTCCGCCCTTAAAAATTCCACGACCTCCGCCTGGTTTGAACCCGTGTACCATGAGTCATGAGGTGGGAACGTTACCTCTAGACTACGGAGGCCACTTATTTTAGACTTTTAGTCATGATTTATTTGTATTTCATGTCACAAGAAAAAGCACATTTGCTGATGGCTTGCATTACTTCTGACACAAAACTATTGCTAACAGTGAAATGAGATGGTATGATTTACTAATATGGGTGTGCTTATATGCATTTTGTGTACATATTTTATGATGGAAATACTTGTATTATAGCTGCATTGAGGGAATGCCAGTGCTGATATCCAGGTCAGAGGCAACCGAACAGATGTGCTTATAGTGGTACAACTTAGTGTGAGGGAAACAGGTGCATTCATATCACCAGGCCGGATTGGCCATGGCATGTGCTATATTTAGAATGAAGAGGAAGTGTTAGATGTTGCACATGTTATTCTGATGACTGCTGCTCAGTGGGTCACGTGAACTAAGCCTCTCTGAGAGTGCAATTTGGCATACTGTGCATGAGGAGCAGTTGTATCCTTTTTATGTACAGTGTGTGTGATATGCCCAGGAGACAATAATCTTTGCTTCCAGTTCGTTTGATGTCTTCTATGCTGTATTGCAGATGAACCTGACTGTGTTGTTCAATGCATTGCAGACTGATCAAGCTACAGTCACAGGGAATGGAGTAATCTGTCCCTGCAACCCACATGAATGAGAATAATCTCTGTGCTAATTAACACTATTCATTTCAACAAAAGTATAGCAGTAACATTTGGGTTAATTATAGATGGTTATGTAATTGGATGATACAAGATGAGGAGCCCACTCAGCCTCCTCTTCAATGGGTAACAGGGAGTGTTTCCTCAGGAGTAAAAGCATCATGGGTGCAAAGCTTATCACTGTCCCATCTAGTGCCAAGACTAAGAGTCCTGGAACTATACCTCCACTCCCTGTACATCTTCAGGTGTTTCATTAATTATGCCCAGTGATAAATTTACCTTTGCCTTTAGTATTGTTACAGTGAATTTGTCAGTGGAAACCATAGCACTGATTTGTTTGAAAGGATGTTTCCCCTTTTATTAAAAGAGATACTCCTTAGTGTTCGCAAAGTCATGTAGTGTCAGCAGGTCACCCCCTCCCTTGACTTTTTACCCAAAATGTGAAGCTAGCTGAATATTCATATTTCCAGAACTCAGATCGACATTGAGGGTCTAATTATCTGGCCTCCACATTTTCCTCATTTGAACCCACCAATTCTTTTTTCTGGTCTGAATGTGTCAGAAACTTTTACCCTACAAGATTGTAATGACCTAATCACTCTTGTATCCTGATTGGTGTGACAGTTGTTAGGAGCAACTTATTCAACTGATTTATGTCAGAGATTTTATTTGATATCCTTGTGAAGCATGCATCCAGGCTGGAGGAGGTAACCTTGAGCATTTCTTAATGAAGAAATACATAGAACTGTGTGTGCAAGTCTTCAATACATGATCAGGAATTTGTATTAAACAGTATAAAACATAAACTGAAAAGAGATAATAACTTTGGAATCTTTGCATTTTATTCATTGTAATCAAAAGTAATAAATAAAGATGTTAAGTATAAATTACTGAATATATATGAATGGATAATCATTTCATTTTATTAAAAATGGGGGCAGAGTGCCATAACTATAAGAGTGGTGAGAAGAACAGCTCAATTAACTTTCCTCTCTGTTTCCTCCCACAGACCGATAGAGAATATAAAAAGATAATGATAGCCAATACTGTTAAAGTGTATTGAAAATATAGCAGCATGTTTTGGGTGCAATTCAATCTTTCTGCTTTTATTATTGTTATGTGAGCATAGTTTATTGAATAATTTCATTGTTATTTCTGTAAAATTTTAGCTACCATATGTTGTGATGTTGACAAGGAAAGAAATTATATCCTAGTCAAAGAACTGTACATCTGCTTGTTAATACAATATCGTAACTTCCATTGATTTTATTCCAGTTAATCATGAAATAATTCTGAGACGTACATTATTGTCTCAGGAGAAGTAATGAGTTCTTTATTTTTGTTTATCACAGAGATTTGGAATAGACAAAGGAGACATAGCAGAACACCCAGAAATTCTAACAATTTTCCCAACAACAATAGAGAATCGCGCCATGTTGCTACAAGAAGGTGGTTTTTCTGCTATAACTGCAAATATTATTGTTAGGTATATATTGATGCACATTCTGATTTTGATGTGAAGTCACAATTTCATATTGGTGATAGCAAGTGGAATGCTTAAGTCAAAATAAATGCTCCTAACATTAGTATCAAATGTTACTGTTTTCACTATCTCTTGTGCCACACGTCTTTCTGTAAAACTTACTAACGGTTATTTCACTTCAGAAGTTTTGTGCATCATATAACTTTTAACTCTTTTAAAGTTTTTTGCTATATGTTTCAGTCAGTATTGTCGCTATCAGGTGTTTAAAATTATATTGAAACTGATGTGCTCCTGTTATTGTGGCTTTGGTTATTAATTTTTTATGTGTATTCCAAGTGATGGGTTCTTCCTGTTGTGTTGCACTGTGCGTCTTTGTATAGCTTACTACTGAATATCCTGCCCAGTACTCAAACTGGTCACCTCCTGAATTCCAGTTGAGTGTGTTACCTCTATGCCAAACTGTTCAGTCTTCCACATGTTCAAACAGGCGATGGCAGACAGCCTACACATATAGAGAAATGTTCTTACATAATGTGGTGTAGTGCCTAAAATTCAAAATCTTGGAATCACAGAAATATCACAGGTATCCCATACAAGGCAACATCATGGCCAAACACAGATCCCCATGCAACAGACGCTCCTATGACAGTTCAAATACTGTTGAACCCAGTAATGTCTAGTTGGTGTGGAATAGGGCAGTGTAGAAGAGTCTACAACAGCGGAACACCGATGAGTCAGTCCATGATTGCAGAGCCTGTGACCTAGCAGCAGAACCTCTGACAATAGAGTGTCAGAGGAACCAAGCAAGAATTTTCTAATGAACTGTGAAATGCTGTGAATACTTGTAAACAGTTGTAGATACAAGTAGTTACTATAGGATTCTGACGATGGTGTATAACACACTGATATGATGGGATTTTGGACTTTATCCATCGTCCTGGTTTTTAAGATAACAAATAAAAACAGGATGTTTCGGAAACTGGATCTGTTTCCGTCCTCAGGTGAAGGAAAACACCTATTCAGTTGGGTCCCTTAGAAAGNTGTAGATATGGTTATTCATTGTGAAATAAAATCTGTTTTTAACCCAAATCTGTTATGTAGTCATATCCTCTGGAGAAAGTATGACCTTTGTGGGGCTTTTGATGGGATAAGGAAGTGTGAAATACCTTTTGCCAACTAATTTACCTACAGTGAACTTGACTTTTTCAGCTATTGCTGGAACAGACAAACAGAACATAGGAGAAAAAATAAGAACCAAGTTTGCTGTTGTGGTAATGCTTCTGAACTGTATTTTGGAGGAGTCCAGTTGTAATCTTTGTTGGCCAAAACTCCGACTATCCATGCTGATGATTTCTGTGGTGGTCTTGAGTCCCTCAAGAAGAGAGCTGTGATAATATATTGAAATAGGCCATGACTGTTTCTTACCTGATCGTTTGAGGATCAGTGATGTGATTATGCGTCTACTTGTGTTTGTTGTTTGTATAGCTGAAGCATGATCAAAGGGACAGTTCTGTGTACTATTTTGTAGAAATGCTGTGAAATAAGAAAAATTATATCACTGTTGAGTTTTCAGTGTTACAGGTGTCATTTGGGTTACATGAATATGCTGCTTCAGGTTTTGTCACAGTAAATAGAAGTTTTGAAACTACTGCCCCTATAATGGAGCAAGTTAGGAAATGTATGGACAAAGCCTAATAAGTTGGGCAAGATTACTCACTTTTATCTTGAAAACCATAAGACTTATGGAAGAAACTGTTTTGGAATAAAGTATATGTACAATTTTTTCTATAACTTTTGTTCAAAAATTTTTTGTCTGTAATATTTAGCAGATCTTGCTTGGCAAGTGTCTTACTACAATGAAAGAACCTTTGCAATATATCAGAGTTTACAAACATGTATTTGTTAAAAGATCAGTGTTAATAATAAATGCAATTTCTTTGTTACAGGTACATCACCATTACTCGAAAGCCTCTTCGTTTACTAAAGGCCTACCAATATATTCCTTCTCAATTTGATATACCTCAAAGTTTTCTCTCTTATTTGAATGAACCTCCTCCTCCGTTTAATCCTATCTCTGGAGATGCATTGGATGACAAATCATTTGTGGATATACAGGTGGCTGTACTGCGACACTACCTTTGTTGGAGACTTGAAATGCAGTCAGCTGAATTGGATGTATTAATGAAAACGTATAGTCGATTAAAGAATAGGAGTTTTAGACTTGTGGAGGAATCTTTGAAAATATTAGAAGAGAAAATTGGATTCAGTAAGGAGAAGGTTAATTATTGTTGTTTTTGTTATCATTGTTATCATAAATGCTTAATACATTGTGACATGATGCCTTAAAGCCGAAGTAGTCCATTGCTAGACAACGGCCCTCTACATGTTCCCACAGCAATGGATGGATGCAGAATATTCCATTGCTAGACAACGGTTTGCTACATATTCCTGTAGCAATCATTAGATGCAGAAAATAGACAAACAGTTTGAGGTGGTGGTCTCTCTTCGGCTCGCCCCGAGTTATATAAGGGAGTTCATTCGTGAGGGTAGTTTAGTGTTCAGCTATGGAATGTTAACCAGTGGACAGTGGAAGAGAAAACACTTAAAATCCAGTAAGGAATGGAGCAAGTCATACACAGTCATTGATTGTGAGCTGTTATAATTGATTATAATTGCAAATAGAAGCACCAGTAAATCCCATCATCCAGTCATGGAACCCCGGACACATGACAGTATTCATCACCCCAAAGACTTTAAGAAATGTTATTAGTGCCACTGCCTACCACCACCACCATTGTTGCTACTGCTCTTGCTTCTTCTATTATACATTGTTATAGTAAACCGTTGAAGATTAATGGCTTTCACTTTTAAACTTATCTCATTATAATGTTTGAGTTTCTCAGCTCATCTTCTGATGTTGAATCTTAAGGAACTGATCTTTAAAAATGCTATGTGATTCTGATGAAAGTGCCTGGAAAAAGAACATCTACAGCTGTCTCTAAATATCCTTTCATTGTCTTCCGATCACTAAACGATATCTCGTTTTTACTAAAATTTCAGAAACATACCTGGTACACACTGCACTGTCTGATTATAAGCTTGAACTTTTGAATAAACTTTGCTGTTGAACAAGGTGGTTTGAAACCAAGGCATTATGTCCCTTTTTAACTGACTCTGTATTTCACTTAGCTGTGATGCAGTATTTATTTATTATGTTCTTTCAAAATTACAAGGTGTGTCCCAAAAGTCATGAAATATATATATATATATATATATTTTAAATTTATTGATGATATCGGTACNCCAGGAACTCACGGACGAGCAGAGACGTGTGGCTGGGCGCATTGTCATGATGCAGCCGCCAGTTAGCGGCGATGTCTTTTCACACCCGGATGACCCTTTTCCTTAATCTTTCTAGAACATCCACGTAATAGGGAATGTTGACGGTCTGTCCTTGGGGTAAAAACTCTTTGTGGACCACACCTTTGGCGTCAAAAAAGACGATGAGCATTGTTTTCACTTTGGATTTGCTCATCTTCGCCTTCTTCGGTTTCGGGGAAGCCGAGGTGTGCCATTCAGCACTCTGGCGCTTCGTTTCTGGGTCGTACTCAAATGTCCACGTTTCATCACCAGTAATAACAGTCTAAATAATGAGGTTCAGTTTCCACACGTTCCTTCAATTCACTCGCGATCAACACTCGATTGGCGTTTTGCTCGTCCGTCAACAATTTGGGGACCAGCTTGGCGCACACCTTTCGCATATTCAATTCGTCCATAACGATGTGATGCACAACGGTTTTTGGAATGTTCAGAGTGTCGGCTAACAACCGGATAGTCATTCGACTGTCAGTATTCAACAAATCACGCACATTAGTCACATTTTCGTCGGTTTGGCTTGTTGATGGCAGTCCAGAGTGGGGGTCATCTTCCACTCCTTCCTGGTCCTCCTTAAACTTCTTCACCCACCTTGTAACTTGCAGATATGATAGAGCAGACTCCCCGTAGGCTTGCTTAATTAGTTCGTGAGTTTTGGCAGCTTTTTTGTTGAGCTTTGTGCAGAACTTGACCACCCAACGTTGTTCGAAAGTATCCATGATCACGCGCCGTGACGTCACAAAACACAGGTGCACTAAATCAGCGATACTGATGCCTCCAATGCTTGAGCAGACTGACCTTGGGCGCGCTGTGAAGCTAAAGGCCTTCCCCCCCCCCCCAACCCAACCGGTTCCAGCGCGCTCTGACCAGTAGGAGCGCGGAAAGAAATATATTTCATGACTTTTGGGACACACCTTGTATTATATTTTCACTACACACAATGCACAGAGCTCTCTTTAAGGCAAATAAAGTCGTACTCATTTGAGTCGACCTACTTTGAAATGTACAGTTTTAATAGATTTTCAGTTTTTGAGCTTCCTTTACGCTAGGACACAACAGTTTGTTTTAGAATACCCTTTGAATAACATTAATGTACCGAGATTTTATTGTCAGTAACACTACTGAAGCGAAATAGTGCACAGTCACTTTCATATATTCTTCCCAGTTTTACTTTTTTTTTCTCTATGTTTTCCTAAGTGGTGATATATTCTCATCTACTGAAACAGAAATCCTGCTAATACAGATTTGCACAGCGATAAACATTACTGGGGGCTTTTTCCTCAGGGGTGGTTGGTCACGTTGACTTCTTAGCCATTCACCTCCATCTGGAGCTAGAAAGTTAAGAAAGTTGTTATCTGGGAATAAGGGATTAAGATATACTTCTACAGGGCTGGCAGCTTTTCTTATGTTGGGAATAACAGTGTTACTATTGAAAAAAATATTATGCTTATCCAACTGGACTGTGCGCGTGTGCCGTCACAATAGTGTGAAACACAGGTAATGATTACACATGATCATTTTTTTTTACCTTCTTTATTCACCTCTTTATTTGACTTGCTGCTTTATTATGCACTGATCATAATACCATTTGAATGAGCTTTTGTCCTAATAGATGCTTACTCATCATCATTAATGCACACACAAAGTGTATATTGGGTTTTGTTTCTGTATGTCTCCAGATCCGAAGGCATGGATATCTTATGCACACCCATCCGGGCAATACATTGGACACCCTCAACCGTATTAAAACCATTGGTGGTGAGAGTATCATCACTGTTTTTCACAGGTATCCGAAAGTCATCGCTTCTGCAACAGATACGTTGATTAAAACTGCACAGTATTTACATGTGAGTGGATCAGAATTATTTATTTCGTCTCTGTGGATCATTGTTACATGATACAGAACAAGTCAGTTACTGTACATTGGCTGATTACAATAAGAGAATAAAGTTACAATACTTATAATTGTTTACAGTAGATTACAATAGTTAAGATTTCATGTAGTGTGAGGTGGAATCCATATTAGGTCCCCTCAGCATGTCAGCGTCCATATGTCCTATTGTACCTGTACTGGTGACAATGCTTACGGAGAATTTGATGGAATGAGGATTGGCAGGGGAAACCGAAGTACTTGGGGAAAACCTTGGAGACTGCAATTTTGAGATAGTGACTGACTTTTAGTGATAGGTGCTTTTATCTTTTAGACTTCTGCAGGTGAAAGAAACCAAGGTAATATATATTAAAACTGTCAGTGATTTTTATGTGTTCCACTGATGTCAAGGTAAATGTGTGTAAGCCCAGAAAGTACAGTTTTCAGGTAAGTTGATGATTTGCAAGAAAACTGATATAACTTGTCAGAGAAAAAGGTATAAGTAATGTGCCTGTTTTTTATTTTCTGAAGCATCATGTCATGTCATGCATAAGGTTGCAAATTATCATTGTCATTTCACTGAGTGAAGGGCTACAAGCTGGCTATTCCTCTTTTAACAGTTCATTCCATTGAGGCAAAAATATGTGGCATATTGACCCTTTGCTAGGAAACAACCGCAAAATTAGACAAAAGGCATTGTTAGGCAGTGGCCTGCGCACAACAATGGAAGTGCTGTTGTTAGTAGTGTTTTCTGTGTGGTCTGCTCAAGGCTGTATCATGCAGCCAACCAAGTTCAGTTCAGTTGGGTTTAATGGCAGTCAAGCTTATGGCCATTCAAGTGTCTAAGCTGCCTTTGTAGCATAAGTTAAGTAGGGTAGATATGATATGCTTTGCAAAGCCTGTACTTACAGAGGCCTTGTATATAGTGCACAAGGAAGAATTTTTAGTTAACATGCTATTTATACAATATGTACACTTGACAAAAATGAAGCCTATTCATAAGAGAGAAACCAATCCTCTCATCAGGGAGGATGTTACAGAAGCACTTTGACCACAGGGGTTCCGTCGTAAAAAAGGAAAAATAAACATGGTAGTGACCCTTGAGGGGCTTGGTGCTAAGACAGACTGATTGGTGTTAAACTGCCAGTTGTAAAGTAACAGTGACTGACTATGACAGTTCAGTTAGTGCAGTGCAATGCAGTGGAGTGAAGAAAGTTGGTAAGTGAGTGAATGAGTTGGTTAGAGGACTGCTGCGGTTCAGTCCTTGTTAGCTATTTCTGTTAGAAGCCAGTAGCTGAGTAATGGGGATAGTTCAGGAACCCGGAGTAAGGGGAATGTCTGCTGTTGAAGCCATTGCCAGGCAATGTCTGGTGAAGTCACAGCAGACTGAAAAGACTTAGTATGTGCTGTAGCGAACTGTGTGTGAATTAGCAATAGTGCTATAGTTACTTGTAGGTACAATCTGTAATTGTTCAATAAATCTATTTACCAATTGAGCCCTGTGCACGTGACAGTATATAATCTGCTTTTACCCCCAAACTCAAGCATTTCTGGTGCCCATAAGTCAGGCTTTCTTGCTTCTTGGCTCTGTAGTCTTTTAAGAAACTTGGCCTTCTTTGTGGCAAGTACCCAGTCTTAATTATTAGCTGTTTGCCTCCAGTATTCACTTTCAGCTTTCTGAAATCATTTTATGCTTCTTACAGCTATGTTAGTCTAAGGGTTTTAGAGTAGTGGTTATGAACAATTTTATTCTTGGCACCCCATCATACTTTTTCTTCAGACCATCCCACAAAATGCACTGTTTAATTGGTCTTAAACTTATGACAGAGCCTTCCAGTTGTTAAATACTGTCACGGGTATGGGGGTACGCGTGACAAAAATAGTGGGTTCTATATCAGATGATTGGATTTATTAGCACTTCATATACAAGTTCTCCTACTCACACTTAATACAGTGCTATCGCTGATTTACACACTTTCCAGTTTACCATTGTGCATGCATTAGGATTCTCCATCTTCACTAGTCGTCTCCTGGCAACGGATCTCCACACAGAAACTGTGACTTCAAATCAGTATGAAGTGTTCTTTCCATTTCTTGTTCAATAACCTTGGAACCTAGTAACTCAACTAAAACTCTTCTTAGCTGCCAACAGCCTCGTGTTATATAGCTGCAGCATGGACAACACAAAAACAGATCTACTGTTGCATAGCACAGACCACACAGAAAACACAAGTAACATGACAGCTAAGCACTGTTGAGGTGTGACATGATTGTGCTTGTGCAGAAATGTGTTTACCGAGCTGTTGCCTAGAAGCGGGTTGCATAACCCCGTTGTTGCATTACTTAGAAACATCTTTTTCTGTAGCTCAACCGTACTTGCATGGTGCAAACATGGCACAATAAGTTATTCATATGGTTTCATACTCAGTTCTCCAACATCTTTACACCTCTTTTATATTTTCTGTGTACCCTTAGTAAATAGAAATCTATTAATGTTAATAAAATTTAAGCAAGCTCTTCCATTTAGTTTTATACCAGGTAATGCTGTATAGCAGGGTAGTGACACCATCTGGAATTATTATTACACATAACTGTAAAATTCCATCACTCTTTCTTTATTTGTACATATACTGTGAAGTGTGTGTTTATTAGAATGTCTGTCTTGTATTTTCACTAGGATTTTGGTATCCCAGATGCAGCAATACAGAAATGTCCAGAGCTGTTTACGCTGGGCAGTGATACTGTGTTCCAGCGGTTGACAGTACTTCAATCTGTACCAGAATTCAGTGGTCTAGCAAAGAATCCTCGAGTCCTGCGGCTGGTACATTATCAACGCAAAGCTTACTCTCGACTCAGTTTTCTCCAACAGCTGAAAATGAAATGTGCCAGTTTGCATATTTTGTCATCACCACAAGCACATTTTGACAGGCAGGTTCCTCATACTTTGGTGACTTATATATGCCCTTAACTCACCCATTGTAGTGGTGGAAGAATGGTGTGACAAATGAAGATTCTTCTGGAGTGTTCAACTATGTAATTTAGTAGATAAGTACCAATATTTAAGAGGAACATGTTGCTTCCATCATCAGAATAATTTCTTCCATGAAGATGGAGGCAGTGTATTGTTTCAAAACATTATTACCTACGAGATCACATGGTGACACATTCCAGAAGACCATAAAAAGTACACCTTGTTTTTTTTTCCTCTTTCCATAGATATGTTCGTGAAGGAAGTGATCGGACGAGAGGTGTTGATATGACAAAGTTTCTTTCACTTGAACTTGATGCCAGTGAGGTCAAAATCAGAAAATTATTGGCCAGGCACCCTTACTGGTGCCATGTACCGCTGGTGACTGTGAGAGACACTCTTGACTTCCTGCTGAACAGAGGTTTCACAAAATGCCACATCTTGTTTAATATTCATGCTCTTCTTTACTCAAGGTCAGTGATGTAAGGTTGGTTATCTAGATATTACTTATGGCAGGCCTGTCTAACCACTCTAGTACCCAGGGCCACTTTCAGATCTTTATATGTGTATATAGCTACAGATAAATGATTTCGAGATGACGATCTTTTGGGATGCAACACAATGTAATTTGGTGGCACAGACAGTAATGATTGTATATAAGAAACATCTTCATTGTAATAATATTAGACTAATGAAGACACTGTTATGGTTGAAATGCATGTAGTGTAAAAATAAAAATATGTTGGGCTATTGTTGATAATTATTTATATCTTTACAGAAATCAGTTGAAAAAAGAACTGGATAGCCTGTCTTCATGCTGTGAATTAAATATGTGTTTCCCAGCCCTTAAAGAGACTGCCACTGTTGAAGCAGAACATCAGAGGAAAATAGATTACCTACCGCCCGAGCGGCGTTTGGCTTTGTGTTTATATTTTATTGAGCGTAATTTTTACTTCACTGGTGATGGCATTTGGGCTGACAGTATTGTTTCTGGTCTTGCGCCTGCATCTGACACATGAAACCTTTAGTGTCATTCTTATTGTTTTCTGGCAAGTCCTTATTGATTGCCTACTAGACACAGGACTGCTATTATATTCGAATGGTCCATTGTTTCAGGTACAGGTATATTTAACATTTACAGTATGTCCTTTGTGTTATTGCAGTGGCAGATGTGCTCAGTCAAGTTGGTTAACACTGCAACCTGTAAAGAAGAGTATTACTCGTAATACCATTTCCTCCCAGATGAAATATGGCTGCCAGCCCATTAGTACTGGGATGTTTAAAAGTCCCTCATCTTGTACTATTATAGTTAATGTAGAGAATTGTTTACACTGCAATAAAAATGTATATAATAAATTTGTCTTAGACAATGGATGTAATGTAATTAATCTCAACTTTAGAGAACCACTGTGACAAGATTATTTGGAGAGGATATTTTTTGTGTGTTTTCATGCAAGCCATCATATCACAATGTTATGACCGTATATAGAAAATATTCATGACACTTTTAAAGTGAGAATCTTTTCAGGTTTTTAATCAATGTTTTTCATATCAATGCTCAAAGAGACAACCACATAAAACTATAACAAATATTTATTGCCGTTAGAATGAATATTACATGTGATCAAGGAGGCAGAGCATGCCTGTTGAATACCGGTGAAAACTCCCGTCATAATGGACCAGCCTGAGCTAGTGACAGAGTTGATATTGTTGACCTTGAAAAAGGCAGTTTGTGGAATATCGGGCAAAGCTTTTGTCGCAGTGGGGTAGGCAGCTCTAGTGTCAGCATCTTCCTTGCAGCAGCCTGTTGATTGCGAGCTGGCAGAATGCCAGGCGAAGCTCTTGGAGTAGTGGGCTAGCAAGTACTAGTGGCGTTGAGGCCAGCTGGCCTGATGAGCACTGGTGATTGCTGGCGGAGTTGGCTGTCGTGCTGCTACTAGTAGACTCGCTGTTGTAGTGTTCTTTTGATGCTAGCATGCGGGTGTTCCACCTTTTTATATTCTTGTCACTGGGCAGTGATGGTGTCCAATGGGCATTAGAGCTTCCATGGTGAGCACTGATTGGGTATCACTTGCTTCACTGTGCGAGGTCCCCACATCACCCGCTCATGGAGGTGGTTACTCAGATGTTGAAGTGAGGGGGGAAATGGATGCGGTGACTGGGGTGCGTAGTTCTTGTGGTGGACTGTGGCAGCATGGCAGATGGTGCTACAGCCAGGGTTGCATTGACTGACGGGTTGAAGGTGTTCCTATGGTAAGGCCCTTTGAGGATGTGTGCCAGCTTGACCCTGTTGGTTGACACCGTGATGGGCCTCCAGCGCATGAGGAGTTACAGTGTCTATTCTCGCCATGACGATCTGGTAGGGACTGCTGTAGGGGGTTCCAGAGCCTGGCACATTGTGTTCTGATGAAGGAAGACATGGGTGCATTTCTTGAGGTCGCTGTGCAGGAATGCTGCTGGAACTGATCTGAGGGGGCCATGTGCTGGTGGAACGTGGTCATGAGATGCCCTGGGTCAAATGGGTCAACAGTTCGAAGCCAGACGAAGCTGTCATCACAGCAAGGTAGCCAGTGCTAGTGTCGGCGTTCTTCCTTGCATCAGCCTGGTGATTGCAAGCCGGCAGGATGCCACACCTCCCCAGCTACATTCATGCACAGTGACCTCGAGAAGGACCCCCACATTTTCCTCTATCAGGACACAACATGTCAGGCTTTGGAGCCCCCTACCAGATCTGTCATGGAGTGAGAAGACACTTTTAACAAACAAGGATAAGCTGGGCTACATCCTCAATGGGACTGACCATGGGAACAACACCTTCATGGAGCTGCTTTGGTGAGCACTGATTAGTATCGCTTGTGTCACTGTGAGAGGCTCCCACATATGTATTTTACTAATTGATGGTCTGTTTAATGAAGCTGTGAAATGCTCAGATTATATGGAGTGCACATGCAAGGTGACTTTCTCAGTTCAAGATGAGATCAAGAAGATAATTTGAAAAAATCTTCAAGAATGAGAATTTTCTTCACCAAGCTATTTTTTTTTTTCAGTAATCGCAATTTATGAGATATGCCACTTTTTCATGATGTACTGTGTATTACTACTTGGCCCTTCTGATATCAGTTCCTTTTCCCATAGCAGTTTTCATAAATCATTGTATTTGATAAAAATTAGAAATTTGAAATTGATAGTGAACTGAAATCTGATATCCTGAATTTACTGTGCAGGCAAGATATCTTTTATGCTGCTAACGTTATTAATTTGCTAGAACAACGGAAAATATATTCTCTCTCTCTCTTTATATATATATAAAATGCAGATGCGCCCTGAAACACCCCCATAGTTTTGTAGGTGGGTGTAAATATTTTGGAGGAACCTGCTGTCTTCATCTTCAGATTAGGAGAGGGTGCCTTTAAGACTGCAGCATCAGGTTCTTTTGAAATTTGGTACCCCTGTACCATCTATGTGACATTACATCCCAGAAGGTGGTAATCTTGATAGATATTCTTTATTCTAGAAATGGGATGTGCCAGAAAAGGAGCTGAAAAATCACTTGTTTGTACAGTATTTCTTTGTTTAATTTACATACTGTTTCTGTATACAGTGGTATAAAATCAATGGAACACTACCATTATGTACATAATTACTACAGAACTAAAAAAAACACTATTTCATTGATAGTAAAATGGAAACAGCATTGTTACAAAATGTCCATAAATGAATGGTTTTTGCTAAGATACATTTTGGAAGGCATGTTGCATTCCTAATTCACAGCATATTTGGCATATATGGAATTAGTCATTGGATTTCACACTAAGAAAACACTCTCTAAAAATATATGTATATCATTATGAATGTCCCAACTTAAAGTACTATGTTTCAGTATACTACAAAATTATTAAGGCACGTGAATGCAATAAGGGATTAAATTGTCCCATAAATTTAATTTTTATACTTAAAATTAATGCATGGTAGTGCACTTTAGTGATCCTAAGGAAAGTTCGGTAAAAGACTGTAGGTTAATTTTTGTTGTTATACATGTTAAAGCACTGGCACTTTCAAAAATGATTGTAAGATCCCATTCCTTTACTGTGATTTATGGTGTTTTTCTATATAATGCTGTCCTTGGCTGCAGTAGTTAATGTGAAATAGTGTTTCCTGGACTCGTTTAGTTTGAGGCTCCATTGATGTGAATAAGAAGTTTGAATCCCACCAACTTATAAAAATGATTTGAAATGTGCAATTTCAGGAACTAGTTCTTAATGAACTGTAATGATATGTATGAAGTTCTTTTTCTATATAATATATCCTCTAATTTAATGTGGCCTTTTCTTATTGTATATGTATTATAATTAGACATTTAGCATTTTTCTGTAGCCCCTGTAAAATTCTTCATGGCCACTTAAGGAGCTGCAGCACCCACTTAGGAAACCCTGGCAGAATTTTACCACCATGCTTTCACTTCTATCATTTTTGCATTATTTGGATTTATAAAATTATATTCGTGGGATTACTAGTGTAAGAGAAAAATATATTTATTTTTATGTTTGCTGCAGTTGAAAAAAATAGAACTGATGGTTAACTCATATTAAGAATGTATACACAGTATACTGTAACTCCCCATCTAGTTGAACCAAAGACTATCATGTTAAAAACACATAAATTGATTGATTTCATGATTATTTAAGGTTAGGTTGGATCAAAATGATCCACTCTGATTTTTTAAAGCTGTAAAATAAAATAGTTACTGGCACCCTATGTCTGATTTTTCTCTTTTCCACGCCATCCAGACTGACTCGGGGGACCACCCATCTGCATATCAAATGTATACTGGGGGTAAAGCATTTGGGCATGAAGCTGACTGCTTACCTCCACTTAGTGCCAAGGTCAAGAAAATATGGATCTATACATCCACTCCCCATACACCTTCATGGTGTAGTGCTAATTAGGCACAGGGACAACCTTACCTTTTTACACTTTGATACTTTCTTTACTCTATCATCAGTTAGTTCCCAGACATTGGCTGAAGTGGGTGTGCAGTCTTTGTTCTTTGACTCTCATCGATAACAATTTTTGTTTCAACTCAGCCATACTGAACCCAGGCTGTGGTAAGCATAAGTTTTTTCTCTAACATAATTTTCCATTTGCTGTTTGCTTTCCCGAAATCATTTGTGAAACAGCTCTTCCATTTATATTGTAGATACATCATGAGTAGATGGTTAGACAGTGAAGTACCTGCAAAAATTTTAGAGGAAATGAGTGATAAAGATGAGCATCATAATGATGAAGACTTAGTTATTCTAAATGAACATGGGAGGGATGTTAGCTGTGTTTTTGTCATTAATGATAATTCTGAATTAGAATATGTGCCTTATACAGAATGTTTATATTTCTGAGGCCCTTTCATTTGGGATGATTTTGACCCACCCTACTAGTTATGAAACAGACATCTTACCCTAGCAGTTGAAGGTTTCAGCACCAGAGGGTTATGTGACATTGAATAACGCATGAAGATGATTATGAATGATGAACGTGTAATGATTTGGAATGAGTTGGTATTTGGCTGTTCAAAGGTTCTCTTGTAGTGGTAACCTGAAGTTGCTGATGAAAATATTTTTACTTTGGCATTAATCTGCTTGATTCAAACCTGTATAGGTACATCATCTGCCATGACAACCTGAATGGGGTGAAACAATCATTTTCTTGTGTGTTTCCATAATTGGAGGGGGTTCAATCAAATAATTACATTTATACAGTTTGTTGGGCATAGAAGCAACAGCAAAGATATCAGATATAAAAATTGTTGAAGTAGGTTATTCTGTGAATTTACAACTTGAACAGATTTACCAAGAGCCACACATAACATTTAGACATTTTAACTTAAAACTAATTCATTGAACACACACTTGTAACAACAGATCTATTACAGTATATATACCCAATTAGCAGAAAGATTAACAATTTACAGCAGTCCTTCCCATACTGCTGAAATTGTGATGTTCTAGGATGTAATGCCACTTATTTTCACAGATAGGTTTTGGATGTAGTTGCCTCCTATCTGTGTTGATTCTGAAGATGAAGGCAGTACATTTCTCTGAAATGTTTGTACCTATAAAACTACACAATCACATCCTATGAAGACTGTAATCTTAATACTCATTGCTGTGAGAACCTCATACATATTATGGAACTCTTCGAGTTCAACGAAAGAAGGCTGTGCAAATAAAAGCAGATTAATGAGTATTGAAATTATGTGTTCACCATTGATGTGCATTTTATGTTCCAAAGGCTTATACAGTGTAAGTTTTAAAACCACTTGTAACATGTCATCGTACAAATTTAAAAAGTTAAGTTACAATGATTTGTCCTTTAACAGCCACGCATCAAAATATTTTGCCTGTGCTGTTATTTTCCATTTAAAAAACAAATCCTGCAATAAAAGTTGCATACCTTGGATACACTGGCATTGTATTGAAGCTGCAGAAAGAATTCCCACGTATTGACCCGCTCCATATTTCCTCAAGCTCTAACATGCTTCCCCATATTACTGTCGAATTGTGTCGCTCTTATGATAACCTTAACTAGGGACAAGCACTTTTACAGATTGACAGTGGCCACAGGGGACTTTATGAGAATACAGCAGAGGAAGCCCCATCATCCATGGGCCTTTTTTCATTGGCTTCAGTATAGTTTTCCCTCCAGCTCACATTGATCATTTTGATTCTGTGGGTCACAAAGTTGATAAGACCAAGATGGGGACATATCCAGTGGCAAGGTACTCCAACATAACCAAGTTTTACTGGTATGTTGGTATTGATGTATGTAGTTGAATCAGGAGACAAAAGGAAAGCTTCATCAGCAGGCACTTGTCAATGAATTCCCTCCCTCTACTATTCAGACAATATAACTGCAGATTTTATCCTATTATTCCACCACAGGTAATCATTTCACATTCATGTTATGATGAACAACGATATAAAATAAAATGGTACATTGAAGAATTTAATTCTCAAACAAACGTCTTAAGTGAATGTTTTTAAATGCTAAGGACAGGAATAGCTATTTACATGTAAGCAATTTTGAATGTTTAGTCTGAGAGAATTCAAAAGCTGGAAGCAAGTGAAGTGAGAATGGGCATCTGCTTGCAGACTTCCACAACATTCGTAATGGGTGGATTGGATGTAGGGTCAGTGATATTATGAAGATAGAAATACATAGAGCTGAGCCATTAGTACCCGACCCTAGTCCTTTTGAGGTTGAAACTGCTATTGCAAAGTTGAAAAGTTATAAATCGACAGGTAATGATAAAATTGAAGCAGGAGGCGAGACCTATAAACTCATTAATTGTATTTGGAAGAAGGAGGAATTGCCTGATCAGTGGAAGGAGTTTATTATTGTGCCACTTTACAAGAAGTGTGATAAAACTGACTAGTAATTATCATGGGATATCACTGCTATAAACTTCATACAAAATTTTATCCAGTATCCTCTCAAGGTTAAGTCCATATATAGATGAAATTATTGGGGATCATCAACGTGGGTTTTGAGGTAACAGATGAACTACTGATCAGATTTTTGCATTCATCTGATACTGGAGGAAAATGGGAGTACAATGAGACAATACAGGAACTGTATAGACTTCAAGAAAGGCCATGATTCAGTTAGGTGGAAAGTATTCTGATAGAGTTTGGGGTACCCATGAAACTAGTTAGGCTGATTAAAATGGGTTTAAATATGACGTATAGTAATGTCCATATAGGTAAATATTTGTCTAGTAATTTTCCTATACAAAGGAGTCTAAAACAAGGAAATTCTTTATTGCCAGTGCTTTTCAACTGTGCTTTAAAATGTGTATATTAGGAACGTCCAGGAGAACCAGGTGGAACTAAAATTAAATGGGACACATCAGCTGCTGGTCTATGCTTATGAAGTGAATTTAATGGGAGATAAAATAAATACCATAAAGAAAAACAGAAACTTTGACACTAGTAAGGAGGTTGGTCCAGAAGTAAACACAGAGAAAACTAATTGTATGTTGCTGTCCCTGTTTCACTGTGCAGTTCCAGAATTGCTGACAAGAAAGAGATATTACGTACTGTTTCTAATACCAGTATTTATTGTTCAGGTGACAAAATTGGTACAGTTTATCTAGTGAAACACATTTTCGAACATTCCACCACCAACATCAATGCACTTTGCAACTTGTGTGAGGACATGGCGTGTTGCTCGTCTGTACAGTGTACAGTGAAATAGCTCTGTCTTGGAAACCGTTTGTAATAGGAAACTCTTCTTTGCTTAGAGTGACCCTTAATATTCACCTTTCCTCATGACACTTCCTATATATTTAAATTGAAACTAAATACATACTTGTCACAATGCGAGTCAGTAAAAATAAACGCAAAGGTTGGGAGTTTAAGTTGACCCCCTGCTCCTCGTGCTACCTACATTAAACACCTCCCCTCTCTCAACATCAGAGAGAGAGAGAGAATGTAAGTGATAACTGGTGGGAGAGGGTGGTCACTTTTAGATGGAAGGGGGAAATTTGTGTTCTTACTTTTCGTGACATGAATGTACGTGGTTTCCATTTTCTTTTCTTTGAGGAGTGGAAAAGTGTATGTCTTGAGTGGTATGGTGTTAGTTCATTCACTTCTCTTCATCTGCACCACAGAAAAACAGGAATTAAGATAATTACCATACTGCCTCAAATAACTTCTGTTGTATTTGACATATCTAATTAATTGTGCTATAATGAATATATTAATGTACAGCTTACTAAATTCCTAACAATATAAAATACGTGTACCAAACACAGAAGATTTTCCTCAATTTTCACATTAGTGCTGGGGATGGCTTCTGCAAGAAATATAATCGGAAAATGTCTGAGTTTCGTATAAGCTTTTCCTTCCCACCAAACTTGAGGTTACATATAATCAATGATCAGTCCATTGTGTTCTGCATTGGAAGAACACTACATAATCTGACAGCCATTTGAAAGCCATGTGGTTACAATTAACTGAGACAGGTGAACAAGTCAGATCTGGGGGTAGCTTCTGACCAGACAACTGTGCAGTGGGTCAGGATATTGAATATCAAATAGGAAAAGAAAAGTCATGGGGATGAGGAGGAAATTTGCAAAAAAGACACAAAAAGAGAAAAACAAAGAAAATATGCTTATAAAAGAAGCAGATTTATGTATATACCAGAAGTTCAGAACAAAATGATTTAGTGAAATACTAGAAGATATTTTGAAGAGATGAAAGGGCTGGCAAGAAATAAAAAAGAAAGGTTGTAGGAACACTGAAGTGGTTAGAGACTTCTCATCCATTGACCCTATAAAATGGAAACAGTGCTAGAATAATAATAATAATAATAATAATAAGAAGAAAAGTATTCCATAATCCATTCTGTTATGCTTAGAGCTCTCAGAACTTACTCTTCCATCATGATCCTTTAGTGGAAGGTTCCAGAAGTCATTATGGATTAGTTTTCTCTTCTTATATGCAGGACTTCTGCAAGATATTCTGTGCCCCAAAGCAAAATATTTTTGATACTCTTCTTGTTTCACAAATGGACAGTTTACATTAATTCTGAAATTTGCTGCCTCCAATATTGTGCCACCCCAAACGTCCACATGGACTGTTTGTGCTTGATTATATGGGATTTGAAACTATCATGGCGACTTTTCTGTGAAGTCTGCTTAGACAATCAGACATGCAAAAGTAGAATTTATAACAAGCTTTTCAGAGACTATCTCTGCCTTCATCATCAGGGGTTGATATGATGGGTGATAGCTGTCAATAGAGTCAAGAGACAGTCTCTGAAATGTTAGAAACCAACTCCATTTTGCATGGATGATTATGCAAGAAGATTTAATTTCTCAGATTAACTGATATTTTATCTAGCTTAAAGACAGGTTTCTGACCCATTTGCCTCTTTTATTGTAGGAAGTTGCTTATATGAAAACAATGTCCTGTATAGTTTGCCCAGCACCAATGTTTGCTTTCAGTCAGCCAAGAAATGGTGGAAGAGTTACAAAATTCTGATTATTTTCTGCCTTAATCTCTTTACTTCCTCCAATACTTGTACTGTTACCATTTGGTGTACCTACATTAAATCCCCCATCTCGTTTATCATGCCCACCTAGCATATCATCCTGGTACTTCTGTGGGCTCATGTTTCCAACATCAATGTAGTCCATAGTTTTACTAGCCTGATTATCCCCTCTTGCTCCCATAGCTGAAGTCAGTTGTTGATGGGTGGGTGACTGCTGAGATGTGACAATGCTCTGGTATTCTCGTAACGATGGTGGTGGGCTGTGGGTGTTGGTCACGTAATCTTGGTGAGAATGTAAAGAATTCTGTGGACTACTATTACCGGTTCCTGTCACTGTGTAATCTTGATGTGTCCGTAGAGCACTGGGTGGACTGTTTGTATTGCTTGTCACGTAATCTTGGTGTGTCCTCATGGGCGGACTGTTGCTTCCAGGTGTAGAAACGTGATAATCCCCGTGAGTTCGCAATGAACTTGGTGGACTGTTATTACCTGATGCAATGACATAGTCCTGATGTGAGCGCATGGAGCCGCCAGGGAACAGAGTTGCTGTGGATGGTGTAGAGTCATGTTGAGGAAGCATGGTGGCATATGCTGATGTGTATGCAGCAGTGTTATTTGCTGTTGAGAAGGATGTGGAATAGGGGGAATTCGTGGGGGAAAGTAAGTTCAAGTGGGGCGAGATATCATATGCTGAGGAATATGCCCATGAATCAGGGGTTGATGTGGTCGAAGGAGCTGGACTTGCAAATGGACTTAGTGTGTTGTTCAAAGCACTGAACGTTGATCCTAGTGTTGAACTTGGTGATCCTGAAACAGAAAGAATTAATAATGCGTAATATTTCTGTCATCAGTTTTACATTTTTCTGGCCTAGATGCTTGAACACACCATTTAAATTATTCTTCCTGACTATAATGTTTGAAAGTGTTCATGTCTTTTTTGAGTTACTTATTGGGTCTTGGATGTCAAAGTAGATTCTTGATGCTTTAACAATTGTACAGCACATTATGACAGTGTTCTTACATATTTGTTCCAGTTCTGAAGCTATTTTTTGTATGAGAAATGTAGTATACTAAGCATTTTGCGACATAATAAGGGAATCTGGGGTTACAGACTTTGTGAAAAGTACTTTTGCTAAAAATTAACATTTTTACTCAACTATTTACAAACTTAATAGATATTAACTGCTTTATCTGCATATTTTATCACAGAAGATTAACTGATTTATTGGTGTGTAAATAGTAAATGTGTAATATTATATATACAATATATTTTAAAGTTTTAACTGTCCTCTTTCCTGTTTTGTACATGCATATACAGCCCACATAACTGTGAAATGTGTACTGTACTCTTATGAATATGTGTAGTAGCCATTGCTATTGAACTGATGCTAGTATTTCAATAGAGTTTTTGGATGTGATTCTAATTCATATTCCTAGTTTCTTTTAATTTGATTGTTATCCTATATTTAAGATTTTAACTGCTATACATGTGTACTGACAAGGAAAGCAAACCACATTCTGGGGGTAGAACAGTTATTTCTTCTAGTTTGAAATATACAGGCAAAAACTACAAACTTCAGGATACTTTCATACTCAGGCAACACTGAGCAACATCAGTGGATAGTGTTTTGATCCCAAAACAAGTTATAAAAACCATAATTTTTACAACAAAGTATGAATACATCATGAGTATAACAAAACTATGGCTTATCTGGTGTTTAGAAAAGACAGTCAAGCCTACATGTTTCTCACATCACTATGGGCCTTCACGACCTGTTACAGCGATAGAGTGTTCCCTCTACGCCATCCCGTTAGGTTCTTATTGACTGTTATCTGTGTTGTGTTGTCATGTGTAGGGAAAGGCTTTGCAGTTAGGCGATCTCCGATCCGGATAGGCCTAATAAATTTATGAAAGAATCAATTATTTCAGAATTAATTCTGAATTGAAATCATAGTAGCTGAAAAAGAAGAGTTTGTTTTCTGTTGGGTAGGAATTGATTTTTTAAAATAACGTTTAAATTAATTTCAGACTTCAAAACAACAAATCTTAACGTATTACATATTCCTTACTATTTACCTGTTGTCATGTAGCCGGTTTTTCTTGGTGGTTCCCTTTTGCGCCATTTGGCGCGTCGGTTTTGGAACCAGACTTGAACTCGTGACTCACTCAGGTTTAGTTTCAGAGCAAGTTCCTCCCTGGCGAAGACGTCTGGGTAGGGCGCGCGTTCGAAAGCCCGTTCCAACTCTTCCAACTGATACGCGGTAAAAGTAGTTCTGAAATGTAAGCCACAAGCCTCTAAATCTCGTCTCAGTCACACAACTGAGTTCACGAGGAACACATCATGGATTTATGGACACTAGATGCTAAAGGGTTCTGACGATAGTGCATGACACTCGGAATTACTGGATTTTTGGACTTTGTCCATAATGCGGCATTCAAAAACAGAAACTAGAGAACACAACGTTTCGGAAACCTTATCAACTATGAGGTTAGCAACTCACAAGGAAGAATCAACATAGACTTGAAAGGATTCTGACGATGGTGTGTACTGTACTTCTTTTGGCTTATTTTGGACTTCACCCATCGTCCGGTATATAAAAGACAAAAAAACCACGACGTTTCGGAAACTGGATCTGTCTCCGTCTTCAGGTGGATAGGGAAGATTAAACCTACTCAGTTTGGCCCCTTAGAAAGAGCTAGTCTCAATCACTGGACAAACCCCGATCTGTTGTTCATAGGTTGTTTCTACAGATCGGGGTTTGTCCAGTGATTGAGACTAGCTCTTTCTAAGGGGCCCAACTGAGTAGGTTTAATCTTCCCTATCCACCTGAAGACGGAGACAGATCCAGTCTCCGAAACGTCGTGGTTTTTTTGTCTTTTATATACCGGACGATGGGTGAAGTCCAAAATAAGCCAAAAGAAGTAAAGAATCAACATGATCTGAAAAATTCTTCATGGGTTTCTGTAAGATTTTAGCCCCAAAGTTTCAGTTTTTACGTTAGAGGTGGCGTTAGCTGTAGGCAAAATTTGATTTCACAGCATTCTTCAATTAGAAGAGTGTCTTCTGGATGTGGCGCCGTGTAGATCCCATGTGAACCGAAACTGATGAAACGTCGGTTCACACAAGATCTACACGGCGCCACATCCCAGAAGACTGCATTCCTCATAGTCACCGCCGTGAACACCTCAAATTTTACATTCTCCAATTAATTGTACACATTAGTTTTCATGGACGTGGTTTGTTGGCTATGTTTCTTACCAAAAATTTCCCCCACCTTTTCTATCTTAGTAACATGTCCATGCTTGATTTAACATAGTTTTATTGTGCTTTTTTTCCTGTTACCTCCCAGTGACATAGTCTGGACTCATGTATTTCTGTATCTGTAGTTATACTGACATGGGTTCTCCACCCCGTGTGGAGGCGGGTTTGAATACTTCCACCGTAGCCCTGCGAGTCGTAGAGGGCGATGAAAAGGCTACCCAATACCTGTGGTTACAGGTATAACTGGGCTGCTCTGTTCCTGGTGAATACAAACACGGGGACCTGGACCTCTAGGTTGGGGGAGTCTCGAATATGGGACAGCAAAATGTGGTCATGGGTGCGGCGAGATTCGTACACGAGAATGACTGCGCTAGCGAGGACCAGCAGGAATTATAAACGCATAAGGACTATAACCGCAAGTGTTCATTTGAAAAAAAACTGATCGTGGGTCTCAAGGGGCTTGGCGTCAAGACAAACTGATTGACAGTGAACGCCAGTCGTAAAGTAACTCCTTTTATTGAGGTTAGCTCTTTCTAAGGGACGGAACAGTGTAGGTGTCTCCCCCTCACAAGGGGACGCAAACAGATTCTGTTTCCGAAACGTTGTGTTCTTTCCTTTTTCTTTTTTCCTTTTAGAATGCCGAGCGATAGACAAAGTCCAAGAACCCAGTAGTGACTTCCTCATTGAAAAGAAACTTAATCAGGTTACACTGTTACATTAACAGTTTCTCACATGCCACTACCTAATTCCAGAAGAAGTGAGTCAGTCACCTCAGTCATGATTGCTGATATCCATGCTAAGATCTGAATGTGGCACCTCCAAAATACACTAACATTTCCGTTTGTGTCAGCTTGGTCCGTCATGTTTCCTGTCGTTACGTCTCTTGCTCACTTAAGGAATATGAATTACAAGTGTCCCATCACAGCGGCCGCTCGGGCTAAGGCATGCTATGTCTTCGTCTGCTCGAGCGCTGCGATCTTCGGTTCGAATCCCGTTCGAGACATGGATGTATATCTGCGGTTTTTCAGTGTATTGTCCTCTGTAGGTAGCGGCCTTGCAACAGGACCTGATCCGTCAAAAGATGAAGTGCCTGCAAATGAATTTCTTGGACAGCAGTTTAGGACTGCCTGTTACATAGTAGGAAACTTCGTGTCCTTTGGAGGGCTTTGGGTTATTAACTACGTTAAAATCTCCATTTGTAGGTTTGCTTGTACAAGGCAATGTTGCCAGAATAGTGACATGTCGTAGACTTGGACTAAGATAGGCTAGATGCTAGGTAAAAAGTCCATGATTTATTTAAACCGTCTTGCAGTGCATACACTCATTTATCTCCTTATCTCCCTCGCACTACATATTTCGGCATAACAATGCCATCTTCAGGTGCTTACTTATCCACGCCAAACCAGTTCATTGCATGCCTTGTTCTCATATTAAAATAACCAAAATATGTATCTATCATATACATTGTCAAACGTTAAAAATATTAAAATTGTTCAGGATACCACATCGCTACGTCGCCCCTCACTACGCCAGTCACGCTCATTCTCCTCTGTTGGAGCACTCCTTCACTGTCTTGTGTTTGTTGTGCTTTTGTTATGTCTTGCTCCTGTGACTGCGTGTGTTATACTGTTGGGCCTCCTGCTCATTCTCCTCTGCTGGAGCACTCCTTCACTGTCTTGTGTTTGTTGTGCTTTTGTTATGTCTTGCTCCTGTGACTGCGTGTGTTATACTGTTGGGCCTNAGATAAATGAGTGTATGCACTGCAAGACGGTTTAAATAAATCATGGACTTAAATCAGTGCAACAGGACGCTAAAATATAACGCTAGGTAAAAAACATAAACTCCGTGACTTCAGTCCGCAAGCGAACTATACCGACCGAGCGACCGTCTCTTGTCGGCGAAAGTCTAGTGGCCAGAGTTCCTGGCTACAGCTCCAGAGGTCCCGGGTTCGATTCCCGGCGCTACCAGCTGTTCTGAGAAGTAGTGCGTCTGGAACGGGGTCCACTCAGCTTCGTGAGGATAATTGAGGAGCTACCTGAATGGAAAATTAGCGGCTCCGGTCTAGAAAACCGAGATTAACGGCCGTGGGGATTCGTTGCGCTGACCACGCGACACCCTCTATCCGCTAAAGTTGGCAAGATGGATGCAAGAATTAGTGGTGAATACTACAAATATATATATACCCGTAATTTCTAATGGGAAACCTCTTGAATAAAGATCATCTTAAAGGCGAGATGGAAGGATAATATTAATGTGGATCGAAGGAAGATTGGTTGGTCCAGTAGCGTGCTTGAACCTTCGGGTTACTGGCAAATGGATATGATACATGTGAATGTGCGATCTGTTAGGATATTGAGCCTGCGCACCAGGCGATACGTGCAAATTAGGGCAATTCTTATGACATTTGGAATCCCCTTTTGTGGGACAAACCTGGACATGCAAGTGTGGCACATCTAGACTGCTTGCTATCATCCGTGCAATGCTGGTATGGCACGTGACCTGCCCTCACTTTACATACGCAACAGTTGCTATGAACACGCACCCCCTATGGAGTACTAACCCTATTGATGTTAACCCTCAAAGCCTTCGATGCGTGAACTTTTTTGTATGATATTTTCCATATGTTGGGGGCGGAATGCTAATAGTTAAAACCGACTTGTGGTAGCTCTAGTAAAAACTGGTGCCATATGTTAGACACGAAGTGTACAGGTCAGACGAAATTGGCCTAGCATTTTGTCCATCACTTTATACAAGTTATTCTTAATACGTTCTGACCTATTAACATTAGCGGTAATGGTGTCATTAGATTAAACTGTCGTGCGTCCTGTGTTCACAATGTACAGTGTATCCCTATGTGCTGATACATGTAATGCTACGAAAATATTTCCGTTCTTCTTTCTCCTTCACTGGAGTGTAATGCAGGGTAGCTCTACGTGTCGTCTTTAAAATTATGGTGAAAACAAATAATAGTTTATTTGCTTGGATGGAAGTTTTTGCAAATTTACCGCCTGTGATGTTTAAATCTCTTTCATTTTCCCACTGAATGCATTTTATCTTTCATGTGTTTCCCGGAATAAACTTTGATTAGTTTCCTAAGCAACGGTAACGTATTCATCTTTTAATTGTGACTCATTGCATTCTCTGTGAGGTAGGAACTTAATTTTTAAACGTTATTTAGCTTTACTCCAGGCTTCAACGTGTTCATAATAATGTATTCCTATTGTTACTATGAAAACCTGCTTGTCCTACGTAACACTTCTCCCAGAACATTGCTTTGTCATTTTCATGGTGAAACAATGTGTGTGCTGATGGCGGTTAATGCCGCTTTTGTAAATATGGGAGTCGACATGTGCCTGGAACCACTGTTCCGCTATGCGCTTCAAAGTTGTTGTCGTAACACTGATATTACTGGGATATTCTTACGTTTACTGGGACTTACTTATTTACGGTATATTTAATGTTATTTTACATTTAAAAGGAGTTACGATAGATGGTTGAAGAAGTGCCATGTGGAATATTAGAAATAAAATAAGAACGTATAAGAGTGCACCTGCATTGCAAGGAGCCGGCAGACAAAGGCGAGGGTTCGCTTACTGAGATGACGTACATATGCTGGGCTGTGGGTGATGTTGCGGATCGGTGGAGTGTATGTGAGAATGAGGATTAGAGGCCGGAGAACACATGTACTGTGTGGGGGGAAAGAAAACAAACAAATATTAATCGAAAAATAGAATTGAAATACTAGTTCTTATTTAAAGATAGACTGGGAAATGTAGAAAGAAAAACTATAAAGTAAAGTGATAAGAATCAGTATGGGTGAATGGAGTGGATAAGTGAAAGAAATGCGTTGTATAAAAAGTATTACTACAAAGTAGAGTTCATAGACAAAAGGATGTGTCCCGGGAGAACTTGGTATTGCGCCGTATTGCACGACACACGCAAATTATTAATAATAAAATTGAGTACTGTGACAATAAATAAATTATATGTAGAGAAATGATAATTATTGAG